GATGTTTTTCACACATATAAAGGTGAAAGCAAACCGCGGGAATAATAGTAATAAAATCGACAGATCACAAAAAGAAAAGAAATGAAAAATGCGTGTTTCATTATTTCATTCTTCATCACTTAATATCTGAGGAACAAAATTGACGTTTATAGGGGGATGCTAATTTTCACGTGAATCATGTTTCTGTGCGAGCATCTCACAATTCACAATTCAAATAAGACAGTCGGAATGTGCGTCAAAAACTACCCTTCTCGAGGAGCGTCTTCTGACTTTATCAGTGTCCAATGGGGGTTAACGATTTTTCAGGTCGCTCTCGCAGTGTATATCTCATCGGTCGCGCACTCCATCGTCGTTTACAGGGTAACTACCCCAGCGAGATCCCAGCGAATTTTTCACCCAGTCACCCGCGCGAGTTCTGGATTTCTGTTTAAGAAATCAGACTTCCGCCTCACGTACTCCCCGGGATTACGCTCGCGTTCGTCCTCGACCAGGAGGGCGGCTACTTCATCTTGAATATCCACAAACGGAAAGAGGATTCGTTCCTTCGACCCTCTTTATTTTCCCCTCTGCCTGCCTTTCAAACAGCTTCGAAAAAAAGGCTTCGATTTTCGGACATATTCTTTTATAAACTATCAGAATAAATCGGGCGTGCGCGCGCGCGAATGATATTTTACATTTTCCGTGAAACGAACAGCAGTTTCGGCAACTCTGCGCGTCCTGCCGGCAGCAACTTCATCTTCGTCAAAGCAGAAAAATGTCGGCTCGGGGAGAGATATTTATCGGTGAAATTATACGCGAAAAATTGTCGCCGGAAGGCTCGTCGGCGCGAAGGAGAGATATTATCCGACGGCGAATGTTTGCGCGAAATTAAATCGGTCGCGTGCCCAATGAAAAGGATATGTCTAACGAGATTGTAAAATCCGCCGGGATAATTGTATTCGCGCTCAATTTAAACTCGCGTTGATAATCGATGGTCGTTAAATCGCGTAGCGCCTCTGCTCTACGCGTGTCGCCGCCGGTTTTAATTCTACTTAACGAGCGGCTCGCGCGGACCGATGCGCGATTTAATGCTCAAACAAAATGCGCTGCATCAAATTCCGTTTATGATATAATTAAAGCCGCGGTCCCGGCCGCGCGATTGCATATTGTCGCAACACGCGCGCATCGTCGCCGCGGCTCGCACGCGAATTTTCCGTGTCAAGCCCGGCGCGGAAAAAGCGCGCTCGCGCGCGGTAAAAATTTCGGATTGGCTCCTGCGTTAATTGAATCAGTGGCTCGGAGTTAATGACAGGCTAATCGGTTAAAGCGCGACACGACGCTGCCAATGCGCGACGGAAATTTCAAACGGAGACTTGCGATTAATACACCGCTGAACATTTTCGACGAATGAATTCCTCCTTCCCTTTCTCTCCTTTCTTTTCACAAGCTCGAAACTCAAAGTTGCTCACAGAAGAAAAAATCAGACGTCTTATCACGAACCGAGAACATACGTCGCTTATTTTGTCATCTATTTCTAATTATCATTCGTCGAGATCTCGTTGTTACTGTTGTTACACGTTCTTACATGACACTCGCGCATGCAAAGACAGTCAACGAGTTAACGGCGAGTGCGCTAATAATTCTGAAAGTAGACAGTACCGGAGAGAAGTGTGTGGTGCGCTTCAATTATAAATTAATATGCGCGAGAAGTTAATAGTAACTTTAATTGCTCGCGATACTTGCGACCTCGCGATAATCCAGTGACACGCAACGGCGGTCGCCTTCCTGTTCCGACGAGCGGAGCGCTTTAGATTCCATCACTCGACGTGTAATCATCGATATAGACAGTTAAAGATCCCAAGAGAATGGAAATCGATGTCTTCGAATTATCTCTTCGAATCTCGCGTGAAGCGCGAAGCGAGCATCGCCGTTGGCAAAAGTCGCGCGCGCGGAAGTCACTCGTGGAACGATTTGAGAACCGTCGCTTTAAAGCCCCACTTATCGAGCGCCTAGTTGGTATGATAATGTAATAAAATAAATGGAGGTTGCTGCTTCCGAGCGATATAGTCCTCCACCCTCTCTCTCTCTCTCTCTCTCTCTCTCTCTCTCTCTCTCTCTCTCTCTCTCTCTCTCTCTCTATCTCTCTCTCTCTCTCTCTCCGCGTCTCTCCCTCTCCCTCTCTCTCTCTCTCTTTTTCTCTCTTTCTCTCTTTCTCTCTCCTACCGGCTACCCCTCGTTCCTCCGAAGCCCCCGCATCCCTCTGTTTCTACCCCTCGCCCTCTTTCCATCCACCACACTCACTCGTACCATCCCTCCCTGCCGTCACTCGTCCCCTTCCGGTCTACGGGATGGAATCGAGAAGGTAGAAGGGAATGGAGAGAGCTCACCTCGAAAGCGAAATACAACAAGTCCCGCCGCCATTGCTGGGTCACCCTTCAGCGGGAGTTTTGTCGTCGCGTGGGTGGGGGTGGGTTGACAGCCCCGCGCTACCAGAGTCAGTCTCACTACCCTTCCTCCAACGATCCGATCGAGCCCGGCTCGACCCCAGCTTCCCTGCTTTCCGGGGCCGTGAGGGGCAGGAGGGCGGAGGGCGGAGGGAGGGATGCTGCGAGGGATACACCAGGGGAGACAGGTCGAAAACTCCGCCCCCGCACATCCGCGGAAGCGAGTCAATACTATCGCTGCCTGCCACCCCCGCGTGCCGCCATGCCTACGCTCGCCCTTTCTCGCCGGAGGATGGATATCGAAATTCGTTACCAGCTCTGCGCGACCCCCGCGGGACTTACGGCGGGAGGGACGCTGGCGGCGGCGACGGCGGCGGCGGCAGGAGGGTTAATCGCGAAAGGGTTCGATACAGGTGTCTTTCAGGAAGCGTTGATTCGTCCCATTTCGACGACGAGCGCGTCGAATGCGATAACTGTTCTTTTAATCCTCGGTTACGCGCGCGCGATGTGTTTTGCACGGTCGTGGCGAGTTCGACCATGAGAGAGAGGATTAATCCAGTGAAGTGCCTTCGCCGAGTCGGCTGCTTCCGATTTTGATAAAGATTTCGATAGATCCGTAGAACGTGCAGCTTCAACGTGTACTTTTTCGCATCCAGCGATATGGCACTATACAGATAATTTACAGTCACCCCCTTAAGAATTGTATCAACGCGATGCTCTTTTCTGAAAATTGTCGAGCGCACAGAAGGAGCTTTTTCGGCGAAACTTTCACACGTGTCGCAACATTTGATGATAAAAAAAGTCGTGTTGAATTCTCGGCAGAGAAGAAAGAGTGGTCGTTTCTCTATATTTAAACTCTATGTTTAAACACTTAAACACGAACTATGTAAATATCTATCACATGGACCAATAAAATTAAAGACACGTGTAGCGATGGGAATTTTTTTTACTTATTTTTTTTATATAATGCGCGCAAGTTGGAGCAAGCTCGTTCGACATTTTTCTCGTCTATCAAAAATTCTAATACTTCTTTATGCACACAAATCACACACACACACATTCGCAAACAAAGTATTTCCCCCAATTATTCTCCGCGGTTCGCCGCCTGACTCCGCGCGTTTCGTAGAGATCCGCTCGAAAAGGCATTAAGGACGCTCACCCCCGGCGTCGGGGCGTTTAACTCCCCGATTGCTTTGACAACTTAAGCAGGCTCTTAAACCTCGCTCGAGCCCCGATGTAATTTATAAGCGGCGGCGGCGAGGGGGTAACTCCACCGGGGACCGTCAAACTGCCATGTGGCAAAACCCTCGTTGGGAGGGGAAGTCAGGGATTATGCGGTGATAAATAAATATGTACGTTTATGCAACAACCACCGTGACGGGGTTGCGGGGGTGTGTGTGTGTATATTCGGTCGGTAGCGACCGAAGTCAAATCGCGTTTCGAGGGGACCGCAGGGTGGATTCTCACCCCTCCCCGTCAAATACACCGACGACCTTTTGAACTTTGACCTCGTGCGCGGTGTTCCACCCGGGTCTTCGTGTTTCTTTCATTTCTTTTTTGATTTCCTTTAGCAATTAATTCTTTAATTAATTTTTAAGTCCGTTTCCGACAAATCTCTCCTCCTTTCCACTTTTCACGACATTTTATCGCCGACTGTATTTCGTCGATATTCGTCATTAGTCTCGTTTCTTTGTGCGACAGCGCACTTTCCATCGTCGGACAAGTGTTGCTTATTCCGCGTCGAGTTTCTCGTTGATACTTACCCGAAATCGCGTTCCGCTATAACAGCGAGCTCAAACGACTCGCGCTACCTAAAACGACAAGCACAATTAAATTAGAGCTGCACAACGGGACAATGAGTTGGCGGGCAGATAACCGAGTTAATCAGATTTACTTTTATTACAAGTATTCGTTACAATACATATCACCGACTGAGAGTACGTAGACTTTTACAGCGAATAGTATCACAACACGAAATATACAGAGAAAGTGCGGAAGAGCGTTCATTTACAGCGCCGATAAAACCAACCCCCGCACCTTCGTGAACGGAATTACGTTTGTCGCTCGATATTACGTGCCAAATTCAATTTCACGTGCTCGCCTCGGCTATTTTTACGCGCGACTTATATGCCGATCTCGCGGCGAGTGTCAGCATGGTTCATCGATTGCACGCTTCATGCAAATCGCACGTATAGTACCTGTCCGCGTGTTCATTCACAATTTGACTCATCTTGAACTCGCTGAGAGAAAAAAAGGGGGAAAAAATATTGTAATCCCACCGAATTTACGAATACACCCGAAAGATCCTTTATTCTCCCGCATTTCTCGGACGTTCACCAAGCTACGGGGTGCCCCTTGCCCTCCGTCACTTCCCTCTCTAATTCGGTAACTTGACGACGAACGTAAAACAAGGTACAAAAGACAAAGAAAGGAAGAAAACGAAACGCCCCTGCGCTCCTCGCGTCGATCCGTCGATCCGTCGTCGGCGACGGAAGCGGGGGACGTTCTATCAACGTGCCGGGCCTAACGCCCGATAAATATGTCTATAATAAATAAATACATGTATATCTATGTGTGTATATTTACGCCGCGATTCAGTGCCCCTCGGTCGACTTTTAGTTGCCGTTGAATTCGTTAGCGACGCCATTCCGCCGGTTTTCGTCTCGCGCGTTTGTACGGTAGTAGGAATGCTCGCCGATCGGAGTCCTCGCGAACTTGTCGAAGGGACACAGGACTTCGTCCTTAGGCCTGATTGTGTCGGTACAAGGCTCGAGCCCTTCAATATCCTCCCTTTCTCTCTCTCTCTCTCTCTCTCTCTCTCTCTCGGCCTCTGCACCAAGCACTTTCGATGACCGATCCCGCCTGCCACGCTTCCTACTTTCGTCTGTATTTGTGCCGAGATCCTTCGGGTGTCGCGTTATCGTCCTCGTCGCGTCACTTCGTAGCGGAGAGCTCGTTGCCGCTCGGGGCGGCTTTAATTTTTGTACATGTCGCAGAGGACCTTCTCCATCGGCGTGTTGCCGATAGTCCGGTGGAAGTAGATCAGCTCCACTCTCGCCGCTGGGACGGCTCGCAGCAACGGCAGCAGCAACAGCAATCTGCCGAAGCGAGCCGGACTGGCTGGTTGTTGGGCGCGCGCGTGTTGTCCCAGCATCACCTGCGCCTGATCCTGCAGGTTCTCGATTTGGCTGGAGTCCTTCAAGCCGCGAGTCTCTGCAATGGCAAAAGTGGGTCCTCCAGGGCCTCAAAGCGCGAGATCGCGAAACTGTGTCATTCGGTCGAAGCAAAGTCGTTTCTTTCGAGATTGAACGAATTTCATCGGTTATGAAGAAAGGGGAGAACTGGGAAAACTTTCGATTTACGCCAATGAATCTGTTCTATCGCGTGAAATTTCGATCGGCGAGAATTGGAAGCAGCATAAACGGAAATTTACTGCCGAAAGTTGGAGAAACTTGCGACGCGCGCGACGATAGACAAGTCGAAGACGAAGTCGCTAACCTGGGCGGAAGAGGACGATGGCCTTCATACAGGCGAACTCCGCGGGATCTACCATGATCGCCTTGTATCTCTGCAGAGTGTCGTGCAAGTGCCTGACATCCGCCGCCACCTGGCTCGGCTTTCCCGTGGTAGTTTGCAAGTGCATCCCCGAGTGCGGGTGCGGATGAGGCGAGAGGGTGAGAGCCGTGAGCTCGGCGGCGCTGAAGAGAGGCGACGACTCGAGCGGCAGGCACCATTGAACGGCATTCAGCAGGAACAGCTCCGACCAGGCTTCTTCCAGTAATATCACCTGCGCGACAAGTCCGATCGATCGACTTAGTACTCGCTCAATTGAGCCTAGGCTGTTTCGTTATCTTATCAGCGCGCGGTTTTAACTAAAGAGATACTTCCGCATTTTCGCTTCGCCCCGGTAATTCCGCCTCCCGGCGACGAGACACTTTCACTCTCACTTTGAAAAATTAATCTCACGTTTCATCATCGAGAAAATTGATTCATCAAGAGCGTTAATGCGAGAGCATCGGATTCATTTTTCGGCGACTAATCCCACGCTAAATTCCGAAATTACTCGACCGTAAGGTAAACTGAGATTGTGAATACCTGGTCTCTGAATGGTAGACTCGCGAAGGAGGGAAGGTTCTTCGCCCATTTGACGGCCATGAAAAGCAGTCTCGCGCTGGTTTCGTAGACCGTTTCGGCACTCGCGGGTGAATATAACGACGGAAGCACCGGCGGAAGCTGCGCGCATCCGCTTCGTTGAGGTGTCAACGGCTCCTCGTTCGTCACGTCTATGCTGTCCTCGGATGCGTTTCCTGCTTAAACGCGAGAAATTCTCTTCACCCGTACGTATACACCGAGTCTCTTCACGTACGATTTTATTTCGGCAAAAATCTCCATTGCCGCTCGTAGAGCTATGTTAACCCTTAAACGCTGCTATATGGGTGAAATTTCACTCCAAACGAATTTTGTTTCGTTCGTATTAAATGTTAAGTTTTCGCAAAACTTAACGCAAAAGTCGCCGCAAAAACAGTAACAGTTCTCTACTTTTGCACCTGACGTTCAATAATAATAAAACGCGTAATTGCATTTGCTTGATTTTTTTTATTTTTAAGATAAAAAATATATTTTTTGTATACGTAGGCAGTCTGAAAAGTTCTCGACCTGACACATACATGGCATTAGAAACTGTCAAACAATAATTGTATTGGAAAGTGGCATCCCTGATATAAATCCATGTAAAATTTTATTCGATCCGTCAAGTCATTCGAGTAGTAGCATCAGTTGAAAAAGCTTTGTGCAAGATGGGTGCCGCATATTTGCTAACAATTGACCAAAAACGCATCCGAATGCGTATTTCTCAAGCGTGTTTGACACATTTTAGTCGTTTTAAGCAAAATAAAGTGAATCTCAAGCGTCGTTTCATAACTGTTGATGAAACTTGGACTCCACCACTATACACCAGAGCGAAAAGAGCCTTCCGGAATCACACTTTAACGATGGTATTGAATTATTGGAAAGACGTTGGAAGTTTCAGGAGATTATATTGAGAAATAAAACATATTTCACGGCAAAACAAATTTTCTTTCATTGTTAGACCGAGAACTTTTCAGACTGCCCTCGTATCTTATATATATCTTTTATATATTTTTTAACCGGGATGAAATCTCATCCATGATAGCATAAACGTGATTTTTTTACGCTAGCTTTTAAGGGTTGATGATCTTTGCGAAGTAGGACGAGTATGTTAATTGTCGGGATACGCGTACCGTCTTCGTTATCCTGCCGAGGCGGCGTCGTGTTGTTCGTGGAGTTCGTCGTGGGTGCGACTGTCGGCAGAGGTAACGGCGTGGTATATCTCGCCATGGCTAAAGACACCGGTGGTCTGCGAAACAATCCGTGGTTAAAAAGTTAAGACTCATGACGAGTGACGATGAGACTAGTAGTGAGTATGAGGCTGTGTTGAGGAACACGTGCTGTCGAATGTGCTGAAATTCAGTTTCAATTTCCGCGTTCCGCTCGGAGATGCGGTTTTCATTTCCGAATACAATACAAGCCATGATCTTGTTCCAAGGGAAAAGTGATGCAGAGAAGGAAGCAGGGAAGAAGGGTTATCAATCTTCGCGCGCGCGCTGTAATTTCGGAAGATGCAGCCTCGACTAGGCGATAGATCAAAGTGTGCAACGATCGCGCAAGCGACGACACCTTCAGTCCGCTCGCGCGCGAGTTTTGTTTGTAGGTTCGTCGTGTCTCGCGCAGCGATATTTTACGTTGATCTCGGGTGGGTAGGCGCGGGTGTAGGCGAATAGCGATCGCGGTCGCGTGAACGGCGCTCGAGGAGGACGCCGTAGATGTTTCCGGGAGACGTTCTTTTCGACGAAGCCGGTTTCCCCAGCTCGACCTCTCGTGCGGAAATCGCTTGTAACGCAGATGACGTTTCGCGGTGACGTCGCGGTTATTCCTCGGGCGAAGCAACAACGGCAAAGGTAAACACCTCTCATTTCCCGGCAGGGCAGTAGCTCCTCGACGTACGTCGAGTACGAGCGTCTTGAAATGCAGAGACGTTAGTTCGAAAACCGATCGCGAACATTCATGGTCGCGTGAAATTTTTAAGACATTATGAAATGCAGAGATACGTCGTGTCATCGCGCGGCTTGTAAAAAAAGAAAATCCCCCTCCCGACGAAGCGACTCGTTTGACACAATCTACCATTCCGCAATGATTTCGTTGTCTCGTTAAGTTAAGCAAATTCCGAGCGCGTTTGTGCTAAAAGAAGAGAACGAAGGAAAACACGCAGAGACTGCTCGCGCGAGCGAGTGATGGGGAGCGTCTGCTAATGCGCCGATTTACCGATGGCAGCGGACGAGACTGTTCATAATTCTGGAGGTACAACCACCGGCACCATTACGACGCTCGAGGGTAAAGTTCCGTCGCGACGCCGACGGAAGATCGATGCGGCCGCACCGGCTCCGCCGCAGAAAATGGCGATCCCGGCCGGCAGGAACTTTGCCAGCTGCTACATGGAGCTGTGCAAGCAGCAACGACTGCGACCGTTGCCGGTGATATGTGTGACCCTGCCGCACAGTTTGGACTTCACCACCGATCGCGTCAAGATGGACGACTGGGGGCCGATCTTGAATTCCCTCTCCCTCGATCGCTCGCTCAGGTCAATCAGCGTGCACAGCAGGTTGAGACTCGATCGATTTCTCTCTTCTTCTCTCCTCTCCCGCCGAGACTTCTCTTCGGCTTCGTACGAAGCCGCTCATTATCATCATTTATTTTGCAAAACGTCGACGGACGCAGCATTCGTCCTGAATCATCAAGCCTGAACTCGACAATCCTGAATCCTAGTCTTAAGGGCTAATCTCGGTTCCTCGTTGCGCAGCTCTTGATTGACGACGGAAGTCAGAAGTGAAAAAGATATACTTGCACTAAAAGTTCTTGCACGACACGCTTAACTTGTTCTTTTGCCCTAGCGATCATAAATTAACACGACACGTGCAATCCACCCGTTTAACTTGTCTTCCCTCGTGACTCGGTCATGTTAATTTGTCAGTTGTTCGAGCGAAGGGAAAGGAAAGGAAAAACTCTAAATGCAAGAATTTTCAGAGCGTACTCTTTCTCGCTTCTAAAAGTTCTCGCGTCAAAAAGTTCCAAGTGGTCGTGGCGAGGAAGCAGCAGCCTTTAACGATCGAAATCTCCAAGAAGAAGGAGTACAATACAACTGACACGTGTGTGAAATCCCTACAAGGTATCAATGTCGCAAGCCGCTGGAGGAGGTGAACTCCGAGGATAAGGCGCGAGCGATGGGGGGGAAGGCTCCAGTGGTCCTCACGCGCTACCTGCTGGAGTGGCTGTCGCAGAGCGTCGGCCAGTGCATGAGGAACTCGAGCAGCCTCACGCACCTGGAGCTCGAGGGCATCCCCTTTCCGGCGGACTGCGTCGCGGTGCTCTCCGTCGGGCTGTCGAGCACGCAGACCCTGCTCCACCTGTCCCTTCGACGCTGCTACATCGGCGACGACGGCTGCGAGCTGATCTGCCGCACGATCGCGGACGCCCGTAGCCTGAGGTCGCTGAACCTCAGCTACTGCGACCTCACGTCGAGCTCCGGCGGCGTGTTAGCGTCCGCGCTCTCGCGGCAGAAATTGGCGCTGTACCACGACACCTGGAAGCAGTCGCTGAGATACCGCGAACCGAACCTCGAGGCGATGCGAGGCCTCCGCCGCTTGACCCTGAACGACAACCCGCAGCTGGGCAACTGCGCCGTGCGGCAGCTGATCGACGCGATACGCGAAAGTCTCTGGCTGAAGGCATTGGACCTCCAGCACTGCGGCCTGACCGACCAGATCGGCCCGGACTTGTTGGAGCTGCTGAGCCATAACGACACGTTAACCGTACTCGACGTCAGGAGGAACATCAATCTGAACGAGAGCCTTGCGATGGAAGTGATGCGCAGGCTGGAGGAGAACGATGCCGAGGGCAAGTCGGAATATCGCTGGTTGAGACTGCAGACGAAAGACCAGCGGACCGCCGCCTCTTCGGCTACTGCCGCTCCAAGAGGCGAGAATGAGCAGGCCGGGAATCGGGCTGCTTGTCAGCTCCTTGTGGAGAGGAAAACTTCGCTCTTCGCGAAAACCAGGCCCGCGAGAAGGCCGTCCCAAGTGATCCACCCTAGGAGAACAGCTCCAGCACCAACGAAGATGAAGAAGACCCGAGCGCAATCGCCGCCTGTGCGCGATACCACCTGCAGTCAGCGAGACAACCTGCAGCCGCAGATGCTCGATGCCGTCCGACTGATGCCCAAGGTCTCCCTTCACTTAGACCTCCAGTCTCGCATTCAGCCGGAGGTGGATCCCAGCAACCATGACATACCGATGGAGAACCGATCAGGACTCGAGAACGTCTCTCGAGGCTCCGGCAAGGCGAGCCTAGTCAGCCTGGACTCGACCAAGGTGGATGTCGCCACGCAGAGCGTGGATCTTCAAGACGATTCGAACGAGATGAAGAACATCCTGAGACAACTGACGGAAGTCCAAGCGGAGTACGATCGTCTCATGGAGGAGACGAAGCGCGTCGACCTCCTGCTGCTCAAGGAACAATCGCGTCGCGAGACCGCAGAGACCAACCTGCGATCGGTGCAGAGCAACATGGCGGAGCTGGAGGACGCTCTACAGAGGAACTACGAAACCAAGGGCTTCCTGCTGGTCAGCCAACAGTCCTTCGACGAGATCTGCCTGTCTTTCAACCGACTATTCGACATGCTGGAGAACGTCGGCACGGACCTCACCGCCAGGACGCAGGACTCGCGCAAGAGGGCGCAGGCGGACATCAGACGGCGCTTGGCGTCCGTCATCAGGCAGACCAAGTCGGAGAACCTGAAGAGGGTGTGCAAGGAGAAGCTGGAGTCGTCGCGATACAACGTCGACAGCGGACGGAAGTTCGCCAAGTCCGAGAGCGACGTGCGCTCGAGCCTGCCGATCCCGGCGGTCCAGCTCGAGAGGAAGATCGGCGAGAGCCCGGACGAGGAGAACGCCGCGCGTCGTCGGCGTCACGGCAACGCCGCCGCCACCTGCGACAAACCCATGTCCTCCGTCGAGCGCGCCCGGGCGATCTTCGCCAGCATCGTCAACGGCGATTCCGTGCTCGACTGCTACTAGTCGGCCGTGGATCGACCGGGCGAACGGCCGATTCTCCAAGGGCGAAGGGTGCCTCCAGGGCGACGCATATGTATATCTTGTGGATGTATATATATATATATATATATACACGTGCGCGTTGGCAGCGTACGCCGCGCTTACAATCCTTCCGTCAGCGAAAGGCATTTCCCGACTCGCGCGAGCAACGCGCTCCTTCCGCCGCAGGACTCATTGAGCGTCACGAAGAAGAGCGCGAGCGAGAACCGGCGTCCTTCGAAGGACGCGGCTTTTTCCTACCTTCCGTTCTCCTCGACGTGTAACAGCGAGATGGAATGGACGGGCGAACGTAATTATATCGGACGACCCCTCGCGGTAGAAGAGTTCAGATGCGCATCTCCTTCGCATCGGCCGGACTGGCGAACTCGACTCCCGACGAGATCCATTATTTCGTAAGTGCGCCTCGCAAGGTGCAAGAACAGGGCAAAATCGGTGCCGGCAGTGCGCTTTCTTTTCCGTGTCCCGAGTGACTCGCGGCTTAAGCCGAGCAGTTACGTTAATCCGCGATCGCGCGTGCCGCTGATTTAAGAGTCCGCTGAAAGAGTCTGCCGGGCGCGGAGGTCGAAACCGTCGTGGGTCGTCTTTCTCTCTCTCTCTCTCCCTCTCTCTCTCTCTCCCTTTCTCCCTCTTTCCCTCTCTCTTTCTCTCTCTCTCTCTCTCTCTCTCTCTCTCTCTCTCTTTCTCTCTCTCTCCCCGATCAAAATGTAAGTGACAGCGATCCCACGCGACGCGGGAAATTGCCTAATGAAATGGGCGAACACGTGATCGGGATAATTACTGGATTAAGAATATCCGTTAGCGTTTCTGGCTGATCGACAAAGTGTGTAATCCACGACGCCCGAAGACGACACGGCCGACGACGGTCGGAAAGACAAGATCGATCGATCGCTCGTCCGCACGCGACAAACGCGCGCGCGCGCGACGCTCGAGCCCGCTAATAGCCACGTTTTTCTTAGCGCGTTACTGTATATGAAATAAACATGATTTATTATTCCCGTCCACGCATGAGACTTTGTCAGCGGGCACTTTTGCCGCCGCGCGGCTTCCCCTTGTAATCGCCGATGATCGTCGCGAGATGAGCCGCGCGCGCGGCCCGTTCGCACAACTGCGCGGCGAAATTCTCCGCGCGAAACTCGCCGATATGTAATTATAGATTTCGGCGTCACCGGCGAGATTAAGCGGCCCGCGCAAGTTCCCAACTTTCACATTCGCGTAATTGCGCGCACCGGCTGATTCCAGTAGAAACGATCACGAACCGAGCCGTCGAATCGTCGCATGAAATCAAATAGCCGGAGCGCGCGAGGGAGTCGTTTTACTAGATTATCCAATTACGTAAATACGAAACTACGAATTCCCGTGGTGGCGCGAACGCGCGTTCGACTGTCAACGACGCTCCGTCCCGACTCTACTGATTTGTCCCTTCCCCTTCCCCCTCGCTCGCTCTCGGTACGCTCGTCAAATTTCTTCAAAATATCGAGAAATAATCGAGAATGTCGAGAAAAAATACGTTGAAATATAATCAGAAACGCACGCGGAAATGTGCAGATCAACTTGACGTAAACACGTCAGTATATAAAGGAAAGAAATATTTCGAGCTAAGGTCACATTTCTTCGATATTTTCACACCGCTCACACGGCGCAAGTTTCACGAGTGATCTATCGATCTCGGTGGACGGAGCCGGGCGATGGGACGACCGGCAACAAACGCGCGAGTCCTGCCGCGCTGTTCGCGCCGAAGGACGCGCCGAGAGGCCGAATCCACGTCGGATCGATTCCTGCGGGATCGGCGAGGCTCGCGTCTCGCGAAAGGATTAATAATCATTTACACATTAATTAAACGAGCCGTCGTGCCGGTGGTGTAACGCGTGCAGAGAGACAGAGAGAGAATAGTAACTCGCGCGCGCGAGGACGACGCTGGTCGTCGCTTTTAACGTTCACCCCTTGGCGCTCTATGGATTTTCCATTAGTTCCAACCTGGGCAACCGGCTACCTGAAAAACGCTCGGCCTACTCGGGCTGCTAGTCAAAGGTAATTTTTCATGATAGATCACGCTCGGCGTGTCGCTCACAACGGCGAAAGCTAAGCCTGGTGCGCAGCACAAGATCAAACGTGCCAACAACATCGCCGGCCCTCTTGCTCTCGCCGTTGCGCTCGCCGACAGGTGACTATCGATCGTCTCGTCTCCGCGTCGTTGTCGTTGCCGCTAATCGGCCGTGCGCCTAGGTTGAAATTTCGTCCAGCCTTTTAGCGACACATGAGAGTGTGCGGCCAACATTCAACATTCTTGCCCTTTCGACGTAATCGCGCGCGCGCGAGAAAGAGAGAAAGTGAGAGAAAGCAGGGGTGCTTCTCGGACCGCTCGTCCTCGCGAGTGTCGTCGCTATCGATCGTCGCACGGACGACTGATCAACGGACGTCTCGATCGATCGCCGCAATCAACGATTTTACGTGGCTGCAATCTCTCGAGGAGGAGTCTCGCTCGACTCCGTGTTTCCCGCGCCGTTTGCTCGCGACGCTGGCGTGAGTTTTGGCGCTCCTGACGATTCGTCGGGGAATTATTACAGCGCATTTTCGCGAAACCGAGGACGAAAGCCCAGCGGGGCGAGCGAGGGGAGCGGGGAGGGGGGTCGGCTGAATAATCGTGCGAGATAGAAGGGAGAAGCTGTGATAATTACTCACCCGAAAACGCCCACGGCGACGGCGGCCTCGCGCAGCGCCCGCTCTTGGTCCATCTCGACGAGCGCTTCCGGTCTAATGGTGGCAGTGTTTCTCGGCTGGCGTTCATTCTGGACAGCTGCAATGTCGCGATTTTTGAAGATGTTTATTAACCCTTTGCGGTAAGAGTTGTCTCCGACATTTCGTTCCAGCCGATCTGTGAAAATTCAGTTGCTTCACGACGGTATCGCGTAGCTCGCGTCTGCCTCAGTGCTTCAGCATCTGGTTAACGCGATTTGGCTAACGCGATGACACGCGTTTTTGCAGTAGCATACTTATGTTGTAATATCGACGTGTACAGAAGCGATTTGCAAGAGCGGCTGGAACGAGACGCTTCGTCGAGGCGGACTCGATAAAGAGTTAAAGTACGCGGCCGTTTGTGGTGTGACAAAAGTATCAAGTGTTGTTCCTCGTCTTCTAGCCGACTGCTCTCTTGCGCTTTCGCGCGAAATCAGCACGAGCACGCAAGCGCGGACGGAGTCGGAGACACGGCAATGATCGTCAGACTTGTATCGATCAATATTTTTCAAATTAATCACACTCGCACACGGCTGAGCAAGGCGCTTTATCGCGTTTCGATCTTTGACGCTCGCGATATCGCGGCTCGAAATCTCAATCTGCCGAGGGAAGGTTGCGCGGCAGGTTCCGCGCTGTTTTAAACAGCGACTGGATGTTGTCGCAGGTGCGGCCGCCGAAAACTTCCTCCTGAACTCGCCTCGCTTGCTGAATCATCGTACCGCCCGCGTCGTCGCTCTCATCGTTATCCCCACAGATGACAAGTCACGACATGCACTCGCGCGTCGCGATTGTCCGCAAACAGCGTAATCGCGATATTTCGCGTTACTCGCGCGAATTACTCTCGCGAATGACGCGATATCAATTTTCCGCGTGTCTCACCGGGAAAACTTACCGGGAACGCTCTTTTCCGTGCAATGTTCGACGCAGCACGCTCGCGCTCGTCCGCGTTGTGATAATCGCGAGTCTTTCAGCGCAAAATTCGCGGCGCAAAGGCGAGAGGCGCGCCATGCTCGTCGCATCAAATGTAACATCTGAATCGAGGAATTCGTGCTGTCTGTCTGTCTGTCTCTCTCTCTCTCTCTCTCTCTCTCTCTCTCTCTCTCTCTCTCTCTCTCTCTCTCTCTCTCTCTCTCTCTCTCTCTCTCTGGCTAAAAACCGAATGCTTTTTCCGACTGATCGGCAGCGAGAAAAATCAAAGCGCGGTAAAGCTCCTGCGATGCATATTCATCGCGTCGCTCGCGATCCTCCTTTTTTTTCCTTTTAATGCCGTTTTTTTCCGGAGGAACGGCCGGATCTCTTGAGCGAGCGAGCGAGAGAGAGAGAGAACGTCGCGTATCGAAAACGATCGGCGCGGGGCCGTTCGACGTTGCTACAGCGAACAATTGGGGTGGCGGCGGGGGAGCAGCATCGCACTCGCTCGTCGGTGCCGTCGAATTCGCGGATGATTGAAATATTATTGAAATATTAGTCGGTCCGGAAGATCCGCCGGGGGAGAACGGGAACAGTTGTCTGCCGCCCTCTCGTCAAACTCACGTAACGCCACGTTATGTCACGCCGGCGGCCTGCGTCTGACACGCGTGGATTTAACGGGCACGCCGGCCAGGAGAGCCGGCCGACCGGCCGGTCGGTCGGTCGGAGAGCTTATTGTTTGCGGTACGCGACGCAGCGCACGACCACCCGAGGTTTTCATTTATTACCGGCGTGCGTCGGTGCGGCAGAAGCTCGTGGAAAACGAAAAAGGCTTTCGACGATGATGACGACGACGATGCGACAGTCTTGTCATTGTGGCGAATACACTGCTCGGAGAGGTTTTGCGAAAAGAGCAAGATCCGTCGTCATTAATTACGGGGGAATTACGTGCGGAGCAGGCCGTTTTCAAGGCTACTTTTGTGAATTTGTTCAACAGAAACGCTTCGGATCAATGGACTTGAAGTTTTCACAGTGTATTCACTAATGTTCAAAGTATAAAAGAAATTTCTTATTATCTGTACGAAAAGTACACATGAAACTTTAAACGCGCTTATCTGAAAACACCATTTTCTTAAACTATCTTAAACTATCGACGCGATTACGCAAAAACTATTGAATCGAATAACTTGAAATTTTTACACAATATATAGTAGACGTGTAGTTTTCACTCCTACCTCGAATACAGTTGTATTTTATTTTATGCGTTTTTTTAAACATTTTTTTAAACATGATTACAAGTTGAAAAAAGTTACATTTTCGATACTTTTTTTTTGTATGGTCATTATTTCTCCAAACTTGGCTTCATTGCCTTTATTTTAGTAAGGGCTATAATGGCAACTATATATTTTAAAAATATCTTTCTCATTTTTTGGTTTCAGAGTAATGAGACGCCCGGAATTATGTCGACAGCAAACATAGAGCTCGCAAACGGATGACTGCATTTTTATCTATAATTACAAATTGGATCGGTCCTTGCGATTCAATAAAATTTATTTTATACTTTGAACATTAATGAATACACTGTGAAAATTTCAAGTCCATTGATCCGAAGCGTTTCTGTTAAAAAAGTTCGGAAAGACAGCCTTGAAAACGGCCTTCCGCATTCGACGCGCGACGTCCTGGTGAAATGCGGATCGGTGCTCGTAAGGCTATCCGTTTCCACGCGCTTGCGCGGTGCAATGTCTTGTCCTTTTTCATTTTTGTCTAGAAATTTGGCGTAATTCTTCTGATTGCGAACGTTTTCAATCCGGGTCGCACAATTGCGTTTTGCAATTAAGCCACCCGACGTTGGGGAGTCCGGAGGATTCGTCAAATTTTCAAACTCGCCGATATTAAATATAAGTCATTAAAAACACAGGCGAATATTTTCAGATTCTCTGATATTCTTCTTTTTTCCTTTTTTAATTACCTTGTTCTAAAGGAACTCTGCGTTTTGTGCCGTGGAATTTTTTCAAATTTTGCGGCTCACATTTGGGGCGTAAAGAGAAGGCTGTCATTTCTAGCACGAAGGAGCTTTAAAGCGTTGAAAATTCGACAGGGGCTAAATACGGAAATATCGATAGACACGAATATACGATAAAACGATAAGACTTTGTTGAAATCCAAGCTGCATCAGCAAATGAGTTTTACTCTGAAGATTTTCCTCTTAAAATTACAATAATGTAAATGCGAGATGTAGTAGTATTAAAGCTCTTGTGTCCGGTACGTTCCATTTTTCGCAAGTAGCTTCCAAGAAGCCAAATTTCTAATACAAGTTCGTTTCACAAGACTGCGTCGGTATTGTTTTACCCGCCGATCGAAAAATTCAAATTTGCTCTCGATTTCTGACTGAAAAGGAAGTCCGTATTTTCGTTCGCTTTCCCAATCAACCAACCTATCCTCACGGAAGGATAGGCAAGATAACGGTAACACATGTCGGACTTTTTGCGAATATCCCGCAATCGTCTCGCACAAATAAAGGATTCAAGCCGCGAGGGTTGAAACGCGCCGCGTTTTTGTGGGCACGAGCCAATCGGAGACGCACGCTCGTGCGGTTCGCCGCGCGAACGCGCTACGCAGCGCGAAACGGCCGGCGGCGCTCGTTCTCTTCATCGTCGTCGTAAACACTGCGGTCGTTAGCGACGGTCGCGTGGCGAATCCCGAAGGGTTAATTGGAGGAAATAAACGTATGCAACATGCGACCGACGCGCGAACCCTTCGCCCGCCGCCCCTTCCGCGCGACCTCGTCGGCCTGCGGAGACGACGGTCGGTCAGACAGGACGAAGGATGACGCGCGCGCGAAAGGGTGCTCTCCCGCGGAGAGCCGCCGCGATGCAAATGAGAGAAACAGTTCGCTGCGGCGGGGACCCTCGGCGCGTCCTGGCGCGAGAACTCGTGCGAGGAGGGTTGCAAGGACGCGGACGCGGAGGGATAACGATTGCTCTGGCTCCGCGAGAATGCTTTCGACGATTGTCGGTCTAACGATCGGTTTGCTGGCGACTTGCTGCTCGATCGATCACTCACGACATCGAGAGATCGCGAGAATCAATGCTCTCCCCTCTTAACACCTTCATCCTCGAACATTTTTCTTTCATACATGAGAATATTTCAGTTTTTAATAATTGCTCGTCGAAGGATTAATGAAAAATTGTTTCATAATAAATTATAAATTTATATTATTCGGGCGACAACATCAGTAATGATTAATCCGGAATATTATGCACTAATGGCAGGTTTTCAATTTCTTGATAATGAAAGGGTTAATTGTATCTCGCCGTTAAAAAAAAGTTTAATCTGTCCCGGGGGGAATGCATTTGTCGCATCGCTGCAAAGCTAAACACCGGCAAGGGATTTAAGAACGACGATACCGCTCTTTCGTCGGAATTACGCCGACTTTTAGAATGCAGATTCGCGTGGGAGATTTGGAGAACGTCGGCCGTTCAAATGAAGGATCAAGTAAAAACAACGGCGGAGAATCCTGAGCGTACGCATCAGTGAGCAAACGGGCGCGCGTTCGTCAGTGAAACGAGCGAGGAAAGAAGTCGAGGAAAGGGGAGACAAAAAGCAGCAGGCCGGCCTCTCGCAGCGAGGTGCATGCAAATTAAACACAGAAACAAAATGCACGGGGGCGTTTATCTCCTCTGGCGCGAGAGACACGGCGGCGGAGAGGAAGAGCGACACGGCGACGGCGGCGGCGGCGGCGGCGGCGGCGGCGGCGAAAGGGGAGAGAAGAAACAGAGGCCCGGTGAAGCAAGAGGACCCCCATTAAGCCGCCCAGCAGGCCGCACAAGCCGGAGGTAAAGCGAGCCGGCACGCTTTTTATTATTACGAAATTACCGCGCGCCCGTGCCCGGGCCGCTAAAAGGGAAGCCGGGAAAAATTGCGCCCGGCGTTACACGCGTTACGGCGACAATGAGTGCCCTAATCGCGCGTCCATTAAAGCGCGGCGCCGCGCCGCGCCGCGCCGCGCCGCGCCGCGCGAGTTCTCCTCCTTTCGGCGCTTGTCACGCGAGAACGTGTCTTCCGCGCTAACACGGCCCGCCGTAATTATTTCCGCTCACCTTCACCGTGGACTCCCTCGAAACGCGAGCTCCCGGAGAATTGCGATAGTCTGTCCGTCGCGAGTGGCCGTATCTTCGATTTTCTCGCCTCAGTTTTTGTCAACCGGCGTCCTTTCAAATTTATCTCTCGTATGAGAGATTTAGCTTTTAATTCAAGGTTAGATGATGTATAGACTGGACGCTTCGGAAAGGTCGCGCGTCTGAAGAGGACGGCCAGTGCCGTCTCTCAGGCTTCACTCGACCTTCGTCTAGCTTGACTCCTGCCGGAGAAAGCTAGACGAAGATGCTGGCGTGCCTGCGGACAGTGGAAGAGCGATACAGCTGCCCTTGAGGCTAGTCCTCTTCTGCGTTGCAGTTATAATCGCGATGCAACTCAACGTGACAAAGTCACGTCCCACTCTAAATTCGAATCTGAATATATCCCTCGCTTGGGGGACAAGTTTCTATAATTCAGCGGTATCTCAGCGAGAGATCAACGAACATGCTTCCTCTACTTGCTCAGCGACAATACACATAAATAAGAGACTGCGCGGCCAAGACGGTCCTGACGCCCGCGTTTGATCTCCACGAGACCGTGTTCTCTCCCGCTCGCACTTTGCACTCGCACTCGATCGCGATCGAATTAGCCGAGCATCGGGGATTTTTCTCAACAAGAGGAAGCGAGAGGAAGAGAGCGGGCTTGATCGATCGATCAAGACGCGACGCGTGGCTATCGCCTCGCGTCGATCACCGTCGCCGCAGCATATCGGAACCCGTCGCGAGTTCCGAAGACATTGTCGCCGAATGAGAGTTATGGATCTGGCGGATTATCCGTTTTCGTGGCCGTTACGGCCGTAATGCCGGAATCAATCAGCGCCGAGGGAGGCGGAATTCGGGCGGAGGGCCCTTTATGTTCGCGACATAAATAACTGGATAAGGCGGGGCCAAGCCCCGCACGAGCGGAAGTCTCGTCGCTCCGAACAGCCTCCGCCGATTCAACTCTTAATACTTCCCGGACGAGACGCGGCCGCGCGCACCTGTCTCCGTCTCTCCCTCCGAGGCCGCTCGCTCCGGCTCTCGCCCTCGCGCGCGCGCGCGCGTGTCCCGCTGATAACTTTCTTATTGCCGAACTCGGTGTCGCGCAGGGGGAGATCCTTCCGATTGAATCGAATCGGCGCGTGACAACGCGAGCCATCGGCAATTTTCCTCCGCAGAAACGGCGAGCGCATATCGATGTGTGTGTGTGTGTGTGCGGGATTTTTTGGACGGTGTTTCTCGGGTTTCACGATGTAATCTCTTATTCGTCGTGTCACTCGGTATTGTCACGCGACGTCACGCGCAGCGGTTCCTGGATAAATTGCACTTTGCCGGACGATCAGCTGTGAAAACTCAGAAACGGCGGTTTGAGATCCGATTAATTTGCAAGCGGCGGATTTTAGTCCGACGAGACTCTCGACGGGCGATTTTGCAAAAGTCCCGCTTGTGTATCTCCGATCGCCTCTGATTCGCCGGTCGTGCGATTGACTACGATTTTGGAGTTTTTTTTAATCTGCTACCACTTACCATCTTTGTTCATCCCCATCTGCATACATTTCTTCAGTCGGCAGGCTTGGCACTGATTTCGATGCGCCTTGTCTACGACGCATCTTCCAGTACCGGCTTGACATCTACGTGGCAAAATTCAATACTCATTTAATTCCTCGCAGAGACCAATCGTGTAAGAGTCGAAAGAGTCGCACGGGTGTTTTCTTCCGACGCTTTTTAGCGCGTGAACTTTCGCCGCGAACGGATCGATTCTTTCATTTTACACGCGACGTCTCGCTTTTCAGTATTCGCCTTTATAATCTTTCTCGCCAGAGGCAAAAACATGAAACATGCAAAAAACATAATCGAGAGAAAAACACGCGTTGGTATAACATGGTCGCGCGCATTCGTGCTGCGTTGGCTCGCAAACACACCATTGGCTATAATGATGAAAGATGGTATCTTTGACCAGTGAACTTTTTTTTTCGGTCTTTTTTTTAGTGAGAGCGAGTGAGTCGCGTGAACGCCGGGCCCGACGATTGCGCATTGCGCAAACAATTTTCCGATCATCGGCCGAGACGAGTAGCGATCTTTATATCGCGCGCCGCGTAACAAGGGAAAGAAAATAGGACGCCTATAAGGCCGGGCGGCACGAAGTGGCGGGGACGCTGTCGCTGGATTGGACGAGATTAAGAGGGATAAGAAGAAGGTACGTGACCCCGGACGGTCGCCTCTTTACGTTAGTCAGCTCCGAGGGATAACCGGGTTAGTCCAACAATGAAAGTAATCGAATTTAACACCATCTCCCGAATGCGCACCCCGGATTCCCGACAAGTGCGCCTGAATTTCGCCTGCCGACCTGCCGCGAGGGGCAAGAGCTGCGACGATCGTTGATGAAACGTCGTCGTCAAGGATCGATCGATCTCTCGGGCCGCGGCCGGGGACGGCTCGACGAATTCCTCGCGGCGAGTCGGTGAAATAATTATCAAGCGGCTTGGAAATTGGAACAAGTCGGCGGAGCAGAAAGAGAGAGAGAGAGAGGGAGAGAGATGAACTTTCAAAGATACATGATAGTGTCACCCAAAAAAAAGTAATTTCAGAACAAGCGGAATCATCGAAATTTTAGAGGATTTTATTCTTATACATGGCCTCAAGAGGCTATTCCTCTAAGATTAAGGGGAAAATATTATAAACATATTATTCTTAAAGTTAGAGGGATTACATGTTGCATGTATAATGCAAATCTTATTAATTTTAATATAAATTTCCTCTTATCCCTCCTACACAGATTATTTAATCTTTTTTTAAGAGAGTTATCATTTATTCTCACTGTACTTTATTCTTGCTGATTATACTAGTTAATCTGAAAGAATTGTCATAATGTATAGCGAAAAGTGATATGTATATATAGATGTACTTCTGGCTGCAGTTCTACAATAAGTAGGCACGAATGAAATAAGGACGTCGTAACAAATAAATTTCCAATCAGTTTTGTTGTGGACTTCATGGCTACAAAGTGTTCATCGTAATCAATTGTATGAAACGTAAAGAGTTAAAAGAAAGGATATATTATTCAACTGCCTGCAATAGATTTTAAACTATATTTGACCAAATATGAATAAATCATCTCCGTTATATGTTACAGCAATATACATTGTTTAAAAAGCGTTCCAAATATTCTGACCCATGAACATATAGTTATTTTTTCGTTCATGTCTGGAGGTAGAGCATGAATAAAAGAAGCCGATTCAAATCAACATATTCCTCTCTTTATATAAGAGGAAAATTAATTGACGTAAGAGGAAATTCTCTTGAAATAAGAGGAAAATAGTTGAAATAATATCTAATCTAATAAATCTTGATGATGAATGGTTTTCACTTTAATCGCTTCATCGAAAGAGGAATCCTCTTTCTGTAAAAGGCTTCGCTTAGAATATGAGACTGTGAGAAAAATCACTTTATAAATAGAATACTTTTTTGTGGGTGCTTTCTTTTGTGTATACGCGTTGTACGTTACGTACATTTTTATTCTTAAGGTTCCACTCGCTCGAGGCGTAGAAAAGTGCATCAAACTATAAAATCAAATGACAATCGTTGTCACGTAGTAGTTCTCGCGGCGAGGCAGAGAGAGAGAGAGAGAGAGAGAGAGAGAGAGAGAGAGAGAGAGAGAGAGAAAGAGAGAGGAAAGACGCGAACATGACGTAAGTCGAAGAAGCGGACCACTCGAAGCATTATGAACCCTCACCTTCATGTTCTTTTTCTTCTTCCTTTTTTTTTTTTATTAACACGACGAGGCTCTTTTCTTCTGCACCAATTATTTATAATTCCTCCCGATCCGTGGCGTGATACGTGTCATTTATCCTCCTCTTAGCATTCATAACATCACGTTACCATGAGAAAGATCGTTCACGAGAGACCTGCCACCGGTTAAAGGGTCGTCGGAAGGAGGCTGCCGCTTCGCCGACGACGTCGGCAATAAACAATGTGCATTCAACGCGTCCGCGGTGCATCCGACAACGCGAAGTAGGGCGATCGACGGGCGTGATAACCGGCAACACATGCTTCCGGTAATTCAATGAGGCGAACAATGCCGGCCGCTCGTAGAACAGAGAGATGCGTAAATAAATGTATGATGTGGTTCTGAAGGGTGAATGCGGCATAGATAGAGAAACAGAGGGGGAAAGAGAGAGAAGGAGAGAGAGAGAGAGAGAGAGAGAGAGAGAGAGAGAGAGAGAGAGAGAGAGAGAGAGAGAGAGAGAGAGAGAGAGAGAGAGAGAGAGAGAGAGAGAGAGAGAGAAGGAGGCCTGGGGAAGAAGAGGGGCTGGGCTCTCGCATGCTGCGCCCTGTGTATCCGCTGGGGTGTGAACGCAAATCAATTTGCGCGACGGACCCCCCGCCGACGACGCGCGTTTCGGGGGAGCGTTTCGAGCGGGCCCTTCGCGTTAAACCGCCTCGGGACAAGATAGCGCGCGGCGGTGCCTCCTTGTGACTGACGTTTGTCCAAATCGCGCTAATAGCGGCCCGTGAGCGTCGGCCGTCGCTGGAAGAACTCGCAAGGTCGCTATCGGCCTGGACGCCGCCGAGCGTCGGCAGCGGGATAACGAGGAGAGGATAAGCGGATGACTCGATCCGGTCGCAGGATTTCGATCTCGCCCGACGATGATACCGTCGGATGAGTTTGGAATTTAGCGAATCCTGTATCGCGAAATTACGACGACGACGTGTCGTCCGCTCTCGCGGAGAATAAAATCGACGATGAGAGAGAATGTTCTCCTTCTCTCTCTCTCTCTCTCTCTCTCTCTCTCTCTCTCTCTCTCTCTCTCTCTCTCTCTCTCTCTCTGTGCTCCTTCTGCCGAGCTGTAACACGGTAAAGACTGAAGAGCCTCCGCACAGATAACCAATTACCCGCGAAGGGGAACAGGATGCGACAGATGCGTCCCGACGCGATGCGCCACGACGCGGCGCGCCGTCCACAATCGCCGGATTAGCGCAAATCCTCACGGATCGGTTAGATGCAATTAAGTGCATCGTGCGTGGATAAGAACGGCCGAAATGTTCGCACGGCTGTTCCCGTGGGGCTCGCACTTCAACTCGGCGCGCGCAAATGTCGCTATTCCGGCAACAACGAAGAGACCTCCCTTGCGCTCCTTGCGTACTTCGTCATGTGGAACGACGCGACAATTTTTTCTCTTTCTTTCTTCTTTCTGTCTGTTTCAGAACGCGGTGCGTTGAATATCACGTTTCGTGACACGTTAGATGTATTAGATGTTCTCCCGCGAGGCGCGCGTGAAGTGTGCGTTCGCGATAGTTTGCAAGCTCCGTCTTATTTTCCGTCCGCGTCCTCCTCTTTTCTCCCCGGGAGGATTTGTTCAGCCAACGCGGCTCGCGATTGCGACGTGTTTTCTTTCCGGGTTACGAAGCACACTCGCGAAGAAATAATAAACACGGAAATTACAGCGTAGATTATGCAGTACGCTCGCTCCGTAAAACGGGGCTTGATCCGGCTCTTCCGTTAACAAACATTTTACAAGGTGAACGTTTTGGTAAAATACAAATACAGATCCGGTCGGCTTGTGCAAATAAGCGTCCGCGGCTTTTTCCCTTTTCTCACGCGACAAAACAAAGAGCCGCTCGGAGATCGTCGGTGCTGAAGCAAACACACCGATTGTCGCGAGGTCGCGTCAACGAAAGCAAGGTCGCGCCGGTCGACGGCGTCCGTACGTTCCCGCGTCGAGATGTTGAATTATTGTCCGTTGCCGATAAAACAAAGATGGGTTTCTTATTTTTGGCTACTCTACAAATATGCCAAGTTTCGTCGAAATCGGAGACACATACCTCACGGATGTTCCTTGTTAGAAGCGCTTCGTTGGGATTTAGTTCCGCTCGACGATCGATTTCGCTTTCAAATCAATCATTATGATACAAATGCCGCTCCAAATCGCGAGTCGTGTGCTAAATGAACGCGAAAAGCGACTTCTTAGGCAACACTAACAAGTAAACCTCGGGGAACGTCAGACTTGTTTCCAATTTTTTATAGTTATTTTTAATGTCAAAATATAAAGAAATCTGTTATCATTTTTAGCTTAAATTAATTTTTTCAATTTTCTCGAAATTTCTGAAATTTTTTGTTCATTTCTTGTTCATTTTTTATCAGATTTTGACGTTAAAATGAGCTTGTTTGCTGGATAGTGAGCCGGAAGATTACCCAACGAGTAGAATGTAGCGTAAAACTAAACTATACTTTTTCAACAATGACGTCAGTCATATTAGATTCGCCATTTTGAATTTTACAAAATGGTTCTGATTCATAATCGGCGACATGTGTGTGCAAGTTTCAACAAATCAGATATATATATATATATTTTTTTAAGAAATATTGTTTTAAATATGTATAAAATAGTGCAAAACTTGAAAAATCTCGAAAAAATTGAGAAAATTAATTTAAGCTAAAAATGATAATAGATTTCTTCATATTTTGACATAAAAAATAACTATAAAAAATTGGAGACAAATCGGCGTCTCACGGCTCCCCGAGGTTTACTTGTAAGATGCGATCCATCTCTCGAGCGCATTCACGTATCGGTCTTCGTCGCCTGGCCGACGACGATTTTCAACTCCCCCTTGATCCCTCGCGTAATCGCGGATCCGCAACGAGAGGAACCGCAGATTTCCCTCGGTGGCGCAAGAAAAAGAATCGGCGAGGCGTCATAGACCGTGAGATCGGTTAACGATATTCGCCACGGTCAAACGTCCCTCATGCGCGATAGTTCATCAGCGCACTCGTTAACAGTCCGGCAACTCAATCCGCGGAACGGGACGGGTACAAAAAGTTGTAACGCCGCGTGTATCGGCTCCCTCGAGCGGGCCGCAGCAGCGTGCGGCCGACTCGGCGCTTTGCATTTCGGTCACGCGCGCGCGCGCGCGCACCGAGCCTGTTCATTTTTCAAAGAGCACGCTCGCGCGGCGCGGCGCGCCGCGGCGGCCCACGGAGGGTTAATAGTTTGCGTATCGAGTGTTATGCGCGCGCGCGCGCGCTACGCGTAGAATCGAGCCGGGACGAGAGCGGCGATCCCGGCTCGCGAGAGGGAGATCCGATGGAGATGGATGGCCGTTCCCGGGGGACGGTAATAGTTCCTCGAACGAGCACCACTCGGCTTTGCCGCGAGCACCGGCTCGAATACCCGGCTATAACCCGCCGTACGGCGCGCGCGGCACGGTACGCCGCCGGCTCTCGATGGGCCCCCGGCGGCTTCGACATTATGCCGCGGCGCGTTGTGGCCCCGGCATTAGGATGAGCCCACTCGACTTGGCCCACATGGCTCCGCTCGACGCTTAACTCGATATTAACCCCGAATGATACCGCCGGCCACCGGGTAGATAGGACACCCTCTTCAATCTCGAATTTGCCGAGCTGCCGTAAAATCAGGGGGATACGAGAGAGCGGACCGCGAGAGAGAGGTGGTGCGGATCGATGAGGGTCTCGCTCAGGAATGCTGAGACCGAGTCGGTTCAGAGCGCGCGTTAATGAACGAAGCGAAAAGTCACGCGCCTTCTTGGATTCGAGAGACTCGCTGAACAAACGTTCAGCGGGCAAGAAACCAGGGCAGTTTTAAACAAAAATCGTACGGCATAAAAGACTGTAGAATTTTTGTTCAAGAAGCTTTTCCCTATCCGCAATGATTATCGAGATAGAACAAAGGGGATGAAACTTAGAGGGGCAGTTTCACCCCTTAAACCTGAGCCATTGCCAATAAAAAAAAAATACGAGTCTCTTATTTTTGGCTAGTTTTACAAATATGCCGAGTATTTCGTCGAAATCAGAGACACACTTGGCGGATGCCTTCCTTGTAAGTACAACACAAAACACAACCCTCGCGTGAACCGGCGGCCCGAACGATGTCCCGCGAGTAATTGCTCTCATTTGTAGGTGGAAATCTCCGCGAAAACCAGCGGGTATCAAAACTCAAAGCAAAATGCGCTCACATCGTCCCAATCTACCACGCAATTTGCCCGTTCGATCCCGCCGTTTCCGCTTTCTCCACGCCAAAGTGGAAATTCTCGAGTGCCGTCGAGCAGCGTATGCGCCGAGTCACTTCCACGACGATCGATATATCCGAGTCGAGAGAGCCTCATCCCCAACTCACCTGTAAATCAGCTTTCGCCTGACGCTTCGCTTGAAGAAGCCGCTGCAGCCGTTGCAGGCGAGTATTCCGTAATGCTTGCCGGAGCTGGTATCGCCGCAGACCACGCATATCAGTCCCAGGCTGCGCGGTGGCTTGCTACCGTGCTGCGGCTGCTGCGGTTGCTGCTGCTGCTGCTGCTGTTGCTGCTGCTGATGCTGCACCTGACCCAGCAGATGGGGATGACCGTTCCCGAGCGCGGTCAGGTACGGCGACCGGGCGAGGGGGAAGTCCGTCGGCATCCCTCTGCAAAGTGGCACCGGGCATTCCTGGACCGAACGGGAGGCGTAAGGATCGTGGCTGGACGTGGATCCGGTCGCCCCCAAAGGACTGTAACGCTCCGGCAGGCCCGGGGAGATCACGCTGCTCTCGCCGGAGTCTGCAATGCGATTCGTGCGTCCTTCGTTATTCTCGAAAGTCCGTCGTAAGAGGGACAGGATTATCGCGGTGTTCAATAATTATCTTAATATTTACACATCGTTCTCGATTGACCATCGAACGTCGCGTTTGTCTGATTTGATGGTTTGGCAATTGATGTTCTGTTTTAAAGTTTCCAAGGCGTTTCCAGAGAATTTCTGGCCACAAAGTAGCATGATCCTCGTTCGTTTCGTTGCTCCTCTGCCGCAAGGAGAGGCGGCGACCGATATTATCGTATAATTGTTCGATAATTGTGTGAGTGTAAGTCGGATGTGAATGGATCTCGCTCGATTAATTAGCGCGCCGCAGGCGCGAGCGATGAAGACCTACTGTGTACGGAGACGCGAAATGTTTATAACTTCGCGCGTCGTGGTCTTTTAATAAATTGCGACCTGTCTGGCTGGAAATAATACCGCGCCGGGTATCGGGAAGGCGTCGCGATCGATTCGGAAAGCGCGCATTAATTAAGCGCACTTTATCGGTAAATGACCCGCGCGCACTCTGACAACGAGGAAACGCGCGCGGTGAAAGACGAAAAAGAAGCGACAGCGACGGCGCAGTTTGACGTATGCTGCCTGTCGTGCGATGATTACGAGCCGCTCGCGATCGGCAGAAATTTTCCGGCCGGCTGCACTTCCGAAAAGAAGGAAATCACATCGAGATAACTCGGCGAGCGATCGGCCAACACGAATTATCCGCTTGACGTGCCAGCGTTGTCAACATTCACCAATTATTTTCCTCGTAGCCAGACTTTGCACAATTGCGAGCGACGGCCGCGATTCAATGGGAGCATGTTGACGCAGCGTCTGGTCCCATCCTCGCAATTCTCTCTCTCTCTCTCTCTCTCTCTCTCTCTCTCTCTCTCTCTCTCTCTCTCTCTCTCTCTCTCTCTCTCTCTCAATGGATCCGCGCGCCGGCCGCCCGAAGCCGGGCACTCTCCCATTTGTCGTAACTCGACACTCGACCCGAGTTTCCTCATATTCGACCGATACGAACGACAATGCGGCCGCGGGTGCATTCGTATTTTCGTTAAATGTGTATTTATACATGTCGGAGATGTATTTGCACACACGCGTGGAATGCAGATGACATGAACATCATGGGGCGGACGAGGGGGGAGGGTGAGCTCGAAACGTTGATAACATTTGTTTGATCCTTGCGCGACTTGGTCGAAAATATCGACGGCCGATTGTTAAATCGCCTCCACTTCGCGCGCTCATACCGTAGCCGACTAGAAATTTTGGTCAGGTTCACCTAACAGTGATAAGGACCTAATAGAGTGAATGAAAGGTAAGGTCCTAAGTAAGTCAGTCCTTATAATGTCCTAACGACAAATGAGTAAGGAAGACCTTTATAAGGTTATAATGATTGGCTCCGCATTAGGATCTTAATGTACCAACCTAGTGTATGATATAATATGGTTCAGTTAATCAGATCCTTGTCGGGATCTTCTTCATTGTACCTAATATGATTATCAAGTTTTAACAAAACAATTTTTGAGTGTCATTTCCAAATATAAAGATGTCTTTTGCATTGAAAAAACACTTCAGATCACTTGAATATATTTGTAAAATGCTATAGAAACTATCCTTTTTTTAGCAGTCAATGAATAGTTGTAAAATTAACGTGACATGCAACTTTTCTCTTTAATACTACTTTATGTCTTGTCACCTTGTGATACTTTATGATCTTATGATATTCATTTTATGTTTCTTTTCCGAAACATTTTACAAGTATGCTCAAGCGATCTAAAATATTATTTCATGCAAATATCTTTTTATTTGGAAATGACATGGAAGAATTATCAGCGTGTCATTTATTTCTAATGTCTTATTTCTAATGTCATCATCCAATATAGCCGTGGCGAGTAATCAGGAGGCATAATTTAGAAAAAAAACGTAATAAGGATTCCATAAGGTAATTCAATAAGGACTATGAATCCTTACTAAAGTCCTGATATTCACGTTGCGTTACATGACTTACTAGGACCCGATAGTATTACTTTATTGAGACCTGATGTCTAAATGAGGTTAACCTGATCAGGATCATGAGATAAATTTCTAGTCGGGTAGTTATTAATTATAATCTTAGTTTCTTCATTAATATCACACGATACTGATTGTCCGAATCTCTTATCACTAATAAATTTTAACGCATATACAAGGTCCCCATGCAACTGGGATATGCGATTTCGCATATAGAATTTTGTACATGTGCGACTCTTCTTCCTCAATTGCAATTTTTAAACCGTTGCATCGATCGTTTATCTGTATATTATTATTTTTATATCTTGTTTATCTTATTATGAAATGTTCAGTCATTGTTAAATGTAAAAATCTTAAGACTTGCCTCCGATTATAAAAATCGGTATTAATTTTTTTTAATTTTATTTTGATAGAAAAAGGGAATTTATCCCGTGAATAAATAAATAAATAAAATAAATTCGTTAATTATAACGAGCCCCAATTTGTGGTACCGCGAGTTATATTTGTGACATTCACGTCGACTGAATCGCGCATTTCTCTCTGCGAGAGATGATATATATATATATATATATATAATATATATAACTTTTAGCGTCGCAAACTTTCGCGATTTTACCAATTCGGCCAATCGATCCGTTCATCATTACACGTGCATGATAGCTGCATGATGCGATATAATAATGAAAATATAGCGAGCGAGAGATCTCTGTGACTACGCGAGCAATCCATTCTATCATACGTATGTTCCAGAGCGGCTTCCTTGGCGATCGAACGATGCGACGAAAGGAGCGAGATTTACGACCGGAGCGTCATTTTTCCGCGATCAGCCTGACTGCGAGCGCCTCCGTTCCATCAGCTGGCCGTTACTTTCGGTTAATCCCAGAGATCTCTCTCGTCCGCGTCCGGCGACCCAACCCCAACTGGCGGCTCGAGGAACCCCCGCTCCATCCTTGATTGATTTCGAAACAGGGGTGGCACGCTCGCATATAAAATAACTGCGCGCACGGCCGTTTATTTAACGCTCGATCGTTGTGTGCTGTCGGCCGCGAAGATCACGCACGGGCCACTTTGTTGCCGTTCGCATCTCGAATCGATATCATCTCGAGTTGATGATCGAAACCCTCTCGTGAGTCTCGGCGGAGGCGATTCTGAAGGATTCCCTCCAGCAGCGAGGTCACCCTCGCGCTGTGCGAGAGTAATCAGATTGGAGAACGGCGTTGCGTATCTCGCGATCGCCACTTGGCTGAACACGCTGACCTGCTTTTTAATGGCTTTTTAGTGAAAAAAAGAAAAACATGAAGAAACGCTCGAAATCGCCCCCGGTCGAGGGTAGACGTCTCGCGACAGAGACGAGATCGAAAGACGAGATGAGGCGCGATTTTTAGCAGCTTCTAACGATCGTGCTTTAACAATCGGACGTGCGACGAAAGTTCCGCGCGTCCCCTAACTCGATACCGTCCCGTTGTCAATCCGTATGGTAATTCTCGCGCGGATTCTGCCTGACCCCGCGGCATTAACGAGGCCGGAACGAGTTTTCGATCGAGTTCGGGGGCTGCCGACAAATACGATTCGAGCGAGATCTCGCGTTTCGCCTCGCCTCGCCTTGCCTCGTCGAGGACGCCGCCGGTGTATGTATGTGTGTGTGTGTGTGTATGTGTGACTAATAAAGTCGAGCTGAGCGCAGAAGCGAAATCGCATTTCGTTGATCGCGCAGATGTTCATGGCCATAACGCGCTCGCGCGATCTCGCCGATCGCGTCGGCCGGTGTCGCGAACGGGCTTGTAAACTCGTCTTTGCAGGACGGCAGTCAGGAATGCAATGTTTTAGTTAACTTAAGTCTGTAATTATTGTTTCAAATCTCTTCACGTGTACAAAAAATATCGGGTGTTACATTACGTTTGTTATTATATTAGATTTCATTGCAGTTTATCTCATCATGTTTAAAAATCGGTTTCTTCGGTCCTGATTCTCTTATCTTTAAATACCATTTTTTTAGTACGTCATGTACCAGCGAAAGGACAAAAATATGCTGTGCTTCAAGCAATTTTTGCTGGACCTTCCCTCCGCCTAATAATCGAAAGTCCCGATTTCTCGAAGGATCACCCCTAATCACACGCAAACCTTCCCAACTTCGCCAAGTCGCAGCGCATCCTTTCGCGCAACGTTCATCCCGCGTCAGTTTTCTTCCTCGTTAGTTTTGTTCGCGGCAGGAGTTGCACCCTGCCCGGGGAACGGAATTCAACGTGTCGCTCGCTACGATATAATTCGCCGTATGTGTGTGTACGCGGTGAAAATATTTCCTCCTCGTGTCCTTCTTCGCACGCGCGAGATGCTTGAGGTATTCTCCCGCGGCAATTTAATTCGCGCTCCCTGTGTAATGTCCGTTACAAAAATTACGACGAATCGCGAGGGAAGCGCGCGATAAATTTTCCAAACCGCCAGCGAAGCTGCGGCCGCGTGCACGCGTGACGACGGTTGTTCCACCGCGAAGTCGTACGCGCTCCCTCCGTTCATTTGGCATAAATATTTATATTCGAGCGTCTCTCCTTACTTCCTGAGCTTTTTCCAAACTCATTTCCCGATGTAAATACTGTTTGTCCCCACGATCCACCTCGTAAGCCTTCAGGGACGCGAAGGAGGAACCGGAGCTCCCGTAGGGGGTCGTCAGAAGCTATCGAGCGGTAATTTCGTCCTCGGGAAAAGAAGATATCCCGCTGTTGCCGAAATGTCCTGCGTAGTCGTGGTCTCGCGGCAAGTTCGGCTCTCGCGCCGCTGTCTCTCGCGCGAGAACACTCGTCGGTCGCTCGAGGACGGTCCGATCTCGTCGCAAATCGCAGATCTGCCGATCGTTATCGCATCCACGCCGATGCGAAAACGTGCCAGTCTTATTAATTCAACTCACGTGACTTGGCGTGAGAGCAGCGGCTTTTCGATCTCGTTAACATACACCCCCCTAATCTCGTCGATTACCAGCGAGTGTATCCCGACGCCGTTGATTTTATCTTCAAAGCGGCGGAGGACTTGTAACTTGACGATAACGATCGAGTCGATGGAAGTGATAAAACGCTGATTAGCGTCAAATCGATTGCGCCTTCCCGCGAGATCGACGACTTCCCCGACGACTGTATTTCTCTCGCGGCCGGCCCGTTTTAATAACTCACCTTGAATGCATCTTTAAAGCACCACGCGAAATTTTACGGCGTTCCCGCCGTCGAGCGATTGTTAAGCCGCGGCGTTCAATCTCGAAGACGTCGCCTAAGAATGCGCGCGCGCGCGCGCACGCACGCACGTAAGCACACGCGCTCGCAAATTACGGCATTAGTATAATCAAATCTCGTCGCGGTGCAATCTGTCGGCCGCGCGCGCGGGGTTAAACGAGAGGAGAAAAATGACGGTCCGATACAAAATACACACCCGCTATAAGCCACCCGCGCCGAGAGTGGCGCGCGCGAAAGCAGGGGCGTCAAATTTCATTAGCATATCAATGCTGGCGGATGGCAAGGTGCCACCTGCGCCCTCGTATTATGGGATCATCGAGAGAAGCGAGGGGGGCGCGCTGTGAGGAACCGGGGGATCGGGGTTGGTCAGGGCCGGTCGGAAGATCAAAAAAAGAATAGTCGTGTGTGTCTGCTCGCCTCTCTCTCTCTCTCTCTCTCCCCACCACCTCGCCGCCTAATTTCGGCCGATTGTTAGCGCGTCGCGTGGCGAACCGGCGCTTTTGTTCGCATCGCTTCGCATCCTCCGCGAAAGAAACGCTAAAGCTGTAATCGAGAGAGCGATACTGCGAGCACGTTAACAGCTGCGACGGTTAGCGTTATCGCCCTGGGAGATTCGCGTGTGAAGAAGCTCGTTGAGGCCGGAAATGCAAATCTGACGAGAAGACTATCTCGCTGAAAGTACGTTGTTTGCTTTGCTCGCGCTATCGTCGATTCTCGCGCGTTCCGAATTTTGTGTTACATGTGATGTGATTATATTTGTTAAGCAATAAATTATGTTTCATCCTCAAATATACCAAGCGAAGGAGAAGTTTCCGATGTCAACGAAGAGAAATAACGCTTAAGGGCGGAATTACATGCGCAAGGTCGTTTCTAAGACCATTTTTATGAATTTTTTTAACTGAAGCGTCAGGACAGCATCAATGGACTTGAAATTTTCACAGTATATTCATTATAAAATTTCCAAGTATAAAATAAATTTTATTGAATCACAGGAATCGATCCAATTTGTAATTATAGATAAAAATGCAGTCAGTTTGCGAGCTCTGTGTTTGCTGTCGACATAATTCCGGGCCTCTAACCACTGTTTAAAACTAAAAACTGAGCAAGATATACGGTTTTTAAATATACGGTTGCCATTATAGCCCGTATTAAAATGAAGGCAATGAAGCCAAGTTTGGAAAAATAATGACTGTACAAAGAAAGGTATCGAAAATGAAACTTTTTTTGACTTGTAATCGTCATGTTTAAAAAGATGAATAAAATAAAATATAACTGTGTTCGAAGTAGGGGCGAAAACTACCGTATATATTGTGTATAAATTTCAAGTTATTCGGTTCAGTTTTTGCGTAATCGTGTCGACAGTTTAAGAAAATGGTGTCGTCAGATAAACGCGTTTAAAGTTTATATATACTTTCCGTATAGATTCCGTATAGTGACAAATTTATTTTATACTTTGAACATTAATGAATACACTGTGAAGAGATTTCAAGTCCATTGATCCTATCGGTTTCTGTTAAAAAATATTCGTAAAAATAGCCTTGAAAACGGCCTTCCGCATGTAATTCCCCCCTTAAGGGAACTGGAGGTCAGATCGCTGAAAAATCGTACTTGTTTTTAATAATATTTTGTGACGAATTGAATAAATGTGCAAGAATGAAAATTTTAATTATAGTTATACAACATGTGAAGAGTAGAAAAATTTAGTTTATTAACAAATAATCATATATAAATACGATGTATAGCTGAAATATACTCTCCTTTTTTTTTAAGTTATCGTTCTTGCAGTAATATCTCGGCTCTCGGTGGTTCGATCAGAGCGAATTTTAGTTAGAAATCTTGAGGAGGCTTATCATTATCCGGTGAACCACTAGAAAAAAAACCGAACAGAGTTAACAAAATGACAGCTATTATTAGGAAAAAATTCAAATTTTTCAGTTCTTTTACAATAAAAAAATTAATATCTCGAAATGAAATATTTTGACGGAGTTATCCATGGTTCACCTGAGAGTCACATGAACAAACATTGTTGCTTTAAAATTTCAAATCAATACGAAGCTCAGTTTCGGAGAAATCACTGCGGAAAGTTGAACAATAAATTTTCGAGAAAAACGCGTGTAAAATTTAAGTGGACGTTATATGTATATGAGTATTTGTTTAAAAACAAAATTTTTCTACTCTTCATACGTTATATAAATATATATAAAATTTTCATTCTTGCACATTTATTCAGTTCGTCACAAAGTTGTCATTATCAGTTCGTCACACATCACAGTTCGTCATTATCAGAAACAAGCACGATTTTTCAGTAACCTGACCCTCCAGTCCCCTTAACATCGGCAAGAATAGTATTGAACTCAGCTGTTCCCTACGTGTATTTGTGTCAAGCACAAGTACACGGACGCAAGTTGTGACGGCGAGCGAGTCGCGCGAAGCAGCAAAGCGGCAGAAGCCTACTTTCCGCTCGTCTCAAGCTCGAGCCGCAGTTTCGAGTCACAACACGCGCGAGTCGGTAAACAAAAATTTATCGATGATTGAGAAAGCCGGCGCGTATCGCGCGAAGCAGAATTCGGCGCATCCGCCGCATGCGTGCCAGGTAAACAAGACTGGATAAACATACGCGACTCGAAGTTGAAGAACGATAAGAGCGACGGGAGGAGATCGAACTTCCATCGTTGTGACTCGTGAGCATCGCCGATCGACGAAACAGACGCTGTCAGATGCGTTGCGTCGAGCGACGCATCCTGATCGCTTCTCCTCGTAGTCGTATATTTCATACGTCTTGCGTCGGTGGACGATATCGAAGAGGGCTCAGAGGGACGAGGAGATCCTCGTCCTCGCGTATGCCGTCCGTCGCTGCACTGAATAAGAAGGGACGACGCGACGGATGGCGTAGGGTGCGCGGAAATCCACCTCCGCGACGGACTTTTATACAAGTCACAGGCTCGATGGGGGCGAGATAAGTGGAAAAAGAGGGTGGTACACACGCAGGCAACGACATTATGCTATTAGAATAATGAAATCTCGGCTGACCCGCCGCGAGCGGGGAAAGGAGTCGTGCGCGTCGCTGCGGGCTCGCGCTGTTACGTTATGCGCGACGCCGCGCGAGAAAAATGTCGTCGCGAGACGACGTCGTAAGGGAGTTAATAACCCTCCCCCGTTCGTCCGTAATCCGCGTTTTCGCGGAAAGCGCTAATTACGTACGCGCTAATTACTTCGTTTACGCGGCAGCTTTCCCTCGCCGACGGCCGCAATTCCCTCCTCGCGAGACTCCTCGGATCTCGTTTTCACGTAGCCATTACATTTTTGTAGCTTCATTATTGAACAAAGTTCAATTGAAGTTCTTATCGAACAAAGAGCGGCTCGCAAACATCGGCTGTTTCGGACTCGGCGCGAATCGAAGCTGTGTGACGCGCGATTTGCGACAATGTTCTCTTAAACGACTTTTGTTCTTCTTGTGCGAGGAAAAATTAAACGGGTCCGATTATGCGATTATTCGTTTAAACAAAAAAAAGAAAGTCTCAAGAAACATCGACGGATTTTCGCAAGTAACGGCAGCTCGACGATTTCTTCCGAAAGAGATCCTTCCCGATTTCATCGGGATTTCGGGAATCCACGACACATCGAAGATCCAGATGAGATCTGAAGGAGCGACAGCTGCGTGAAAATTTCGGACACTTCCTCGACGTGTTCCGGACACTTGCACCCAGCGGATTGTTTTTTCCTCCCTTCTCGAGTCAGTGACTCTCGCTCTGTGAGTCGCTCTACTCACCGTGCCTGACACTCAGCGGACTGGTAGGACTCCGCGGATGCTCCGAATTCGTTTCATTCTGCCCCTGCTGATGCTGGTGCTGATGATCTTCGGTGGCCGTGACCGTTGCTGCCCCGTTCATTGTGCCTCCTCGATCATTCGTTATCAGGGCGATGTGAAACGGTGCGCTGAAACCGGCGCGCGTTTAGTCGCTTGGTCGCTTCTTTTAATCGCAAATTCAAATCATCATGCATGATCTATTGACCGAACTGGGGACGCGCGGGCGCGACGATCGAAACGTGGTCTCTCTCGGCAGATGCGCTCCGATGATCCCAACATACAGCGAGACTCGAAAAGCTCAATCCGATGTATTTAGCGAAAGTTCGTTACAAGTGTGAAAAAATATCACTCGAAGAAAACGAAAAAGGTAAAAGAAAATAGTCCCGCTGATTTAAATATAGACTTGTCTGCCGTCGATCGAGCTCGCTGAATAAAAGCTGGTCTCAGCGAAGCAACTTTAGTAAAATCGGACAAAATTTGCAGATAGTCTCTTGCCCGTCCTGTCAAACGATACTTTGCTTGATGTCGACAAGAGTTACGTTATTTCCCAACAAAGAGCGCCGTGACGGAGATCAGTTCCGCGAAGCAACGCACGTCACAGCTCGCTGCTGAGGTGATGGAGAACTCACCTAGAATAATTCCAGTCCCCGGCGTAGCCGCACTGTGGCACGTACGTCACTTCTCCCGCGATCACCACCGATTCCTCCACCCTCCTCGATCCACGATCACCAGGTAGCCGTCCAAGCGACTCGATCTACGATCTACGAGCTGGCTCTCCACTCCGATCGGCTGCGGCGATTAAACGTGCCACGCGAAAGCACCACTATGGTGAAGGCAAAAGAAGCCCAAGAAGTCACGACGTCCGCGATGCGGGAAGCAGCGCGATTACGCGGTTACCCTGAGCGCGCGGAGGGAGCTCGAGGAGGAGGCTCGTCGTTGCGAGCGAGTGAGACTGATTGCGAGGAAGAGGATGTCGTCCACTTTCACGTGATCAAGATCGACGTCCCGCTCGGAGATCGGCGCGTAGGCGGAACATCGTCGATGTCGGATTGGCGTATGACGTCTGCGGCGTCCCGATCCGGGATCTCGACGGCGAGTCGCCGTTACCTGCGGATGACGTCGGCGTCGTCGTCGTCGTCGTTGTCGTCGTCGTCGTCGTCGTCGCCGCCGCCGCCGCCGTCGTCGTGGCGGTTGCCGCCACCGTGCCGTCGCAGGTAGCGGGCGAGCAACGCCCGGCGCCGATTGGTCCGTCGGCACTTTTGAAGGCGGGATCAGGAGGCAACGCCGGAAAAACGACAAAAACGAGGAGCGGGAGGATTTAACCTATAGCCTCCACGTTTGATGCGGCGCCTCGCCGCGACGCCCGTCGTCGCGACGACGCGCTTGCGCCGACCCCTCCGACCCTCCGATGACGCCTGGCGTCTCCCACTCTGGCCGACCCGGACCAAACTACCCCTACCGGGAGAGAGAGACGAGAGGAGCCGTGTCAGGAGACGACGCCTACCTGAGCGCTGTGCAATTGTTGATCGTTGGCTACGCGACGGCGGCGAGCCGCTCTCTTTGCCGAGCCGCTTCGACGTCGCCGTCGGTCCGCCCGGATAAAAAGTGACGATGCGCTAAACAGAGCGCTGCGGGGCTGTTTTTACCCTTCCTGAATTAATCGGAGCTAGCTGAGAGCCGATTGAACGGAGACGCGGAAATCTGAAGGGAGAATCTCTGCGCGTCACGGGGATCGCTTCTGTTTCACTTGGTTCGTTTGGACAAATCTGTGAAAGGGACTCGCGCGACCCGTCGTCGTCTGAGTCGGGGAATCACGGTAACTCGAGCGTGGGTGACAGGAGAGGAAAGATGAAAATTACATAAGACGTCAGTACTTCATTATCGACATGGTTATGACGAATGAAATTCTCAAAGCTGATCGCCAGGAATAATCGCGAAATGGCGTTATTAAATATCGAAATGCTCGGTGTAAGATTTATATCGGTTGCTCGATTTCAGTAGAAATCGAGCCGAAGTAAGCCCGACGAGAGGATAAAAGTTCCGGCCGGTTCTGAAATTTTCCTCGTCGCCGTCGTCGTCGTCGCCGTCGCCGTCTGGTCGAGGAGTCAACGCTCAAAAGGAGCCGCTAAACGGAGCGATTAATCGGTCGATCGAACTTTCGACTCCTGAAGTGTTCTCCCGGACAAATCGAGCGGGATCCACGAGAGTGGGTTAGCGAGCACTCGGTAACGGCCGACGCCGTGCTCGGTAACAGCTCGACGTCGTTGTGGCGACCAGGTGGTGGTGGTGGTGGTGGTGATGGTGGTGGTAGTGGTGGTGGTGGCGGTAGTGGTGGTGGCGGTGGTGGTGGTGGCGATGACGACGGGGTGGTGGCGATAGGCGAAGGTGAGGATGAGGGAGCCCAGCAGCGCTTCTAGAGGTTGCCGGGGTTGCCGCCATGCTGGATTCCTGCCGTCGTGCGAAGCCCGGTTGCCTTCTGGTAATCGTTGCCAGGGTTGCAACAACCCCTCCAAACCGACGTCGCCACGCCCGCGAATCGTGGACGGACCAATAACACCGGAACGTCGCGACGCCGGCGTCCACCAATAGGATTACCCTCTGATACGGTCTTTCGCTTGTCGGTGACTGCTGCATACCCATCCCCCAGCCCCCGCAACCCCTCAGTCACCTAGATGCCTTTCAATTTCGGGCCCGCGGCCTCATAAACGCAGCCAACCACCCATCCACCCGCGCCGCAGGGGTAGACTCGCTATGATGGGACGGGGGTGTGAGGACGTACATACAAACACACACACATACACACACACAAACACACACACGCACACACAGCGTGTGTCGTTCGTGTGAGCACGCAGACAGTCGCAGGCCGGGGTACAAAGCCGCGTGGAAAGTCGGGGATGAAGCGGGGGTGCGCGCGCGCGCTCTCGTGGCGGTACACGGGAATGCGCTTGGCGTTATGGAACGATGGCACGATGGCTTGGCTGATGTGTGTGTGTGTGTGTGTGTGTGTGTGTGCGGAGGTAGGAATGGCACGGCGACGGTGATCAATCATTCGGATACGTTGCGTGTAAAAAAGGGAAACGTCTACATTATATAAAATTACGTGTTTACGATAAAGCGTTACGCGCGAGCTTAAAATTACGCTCTTTCGAGGGCGACGATGTGTCGGGCAAATGTTGCCCGCAATGTTGTCGCGTTATCGCGCGAATACGACGGAAATTAACTCAAAACTGCTCGAGATGCTTTTAATTTTCGCGCTTCGCTCCGCATGCAGCGTCGTTGAATCATTAAGTCTGTGTTTGAGAGAGAGAGAGAGGCTCCTGATATTTTTAATATTATTTAAATACAATAATATTTAATATTTAATATGATGCAATTAAGGCGAGATTTGCGATATTATCGCACTGAGAGAAAAGTATATGATATTTGGAACTATAATGATATAATAACTAAATTATAGTCCGAAATATCATATTTATAGTAAGTATTACCATAATGTCGGTAATAATTACGATATAGGCATAGTATAACCAATCATATAATATTTTTACTAAGAATTATAGTAAGTTAAACGTAAAATTATTGCATGGATACAAATATAAAATGATAGGTAAGGTAACTCTTTTATATAGTCAATATTACCAGAATATTTGCTAAATGATGACAGATGTAACTATATGAGTCTCACTATATTTGTGAAATGAGAAATTAGCATATATGTGGTAAAAGTAACTGTGGTAAAACAATTATTTAAGACAATCATTGACTATATATTTGTGTTTGTTCTACTATATTTTGCAGGTTCCACCAACTATAAAAATATGCTTGACGCCAAAATGAACTGTAAAATACAGTGAGATTATAGTTAATTCAACTATATTTTTCTATCAGTTCGGAAGGTTAGGAGGTATCGGCAAGCTTCTAATTAGTTTCTCGCTTTTCCGTCTTGTCGGTTCATTCGCGATGGTCCTTTCCATTTGTTACGATAAGTAGCTGAATGATGAAAAATAAAATTGACCTTATTGTTCGATCCGTCAAAACGCGCTCAATATCGTATCAATTCGAAATTGACTTTTTTATGGCAGTGCGATACAGATTTAAATATAGCAGTTTCAGCTTTAAAATTCTGCGGTGGAGTCTCGCGGCGTCTTCAGGACAACGCGCGCGTAATCGTATGCGTCCTGTGTGTAATCCTCGCCGAAGAATTAAAGTTCTCGCGGATACGGCCGCGCGCGATCAATTTCTTAGAAACCGAGTATTTGCGAGACATCCATCAAACTCTCGTTTTGCCGCGTTTAATGCCACGATAGAAAGTAGAACGAGCAGCGGAGAGGAAGTTGCTCTTCCTCCCTCGGTGAATACCTCAAAGGGAATGTGCTCCGATCGACGTGCACATCTCAGGCGTCACCCCGCAAATTTACACGCTTGTGCTTTCTTAGCGCGTCTTTTGTGCAATGTTCCTTAGATGATCGTGATTTTCACGCATGTGCGGTAGAAGTGTGTGTCGCGCGGCATGTAAGTTCTCAGAAAAAGAACCCGTTTTAGCACAGACGCTACGGCGACCCACGTGGTAATGCAAGATTATGCTCCGAGTTATGCTTAATAAAAAAATCACATGACCTTCAATGTAATAATTATACTCGACGACGAGGCGCTTTTTGCAGCTCGAGAAGACGATGAAATGGTAATAAAGAGAAAACGATGTCCCTCGCGGCTTCTCTCCGAGCGCAAAGCTCCGACATAATTAATCCCGAAAGTTTGAAAATGCCTGAAAGAAAATGGCAGCTATGATTCAACAATGTTATTTACTAAAAAGAAACGCGATGTATGAAGATCCTGTATTCTGTGCAAAGAAATTGTAAAATAAATACTGTAAAGATAAATACGCGTTAGGTATACGAAACTTTCACGCGAGAGAAACTTTATCATTTAATATATTTATACACAATATATATAATCCATCACACTGCGTATATCAATTACATCTTGAAATTACATCTCGCGCTCCGTCATCCGTATCAGATAACGATAACTTATCGGTGACGAGTACGAGCGAACGCGCGGCGAACCACCCGTCGTTAAAGCAACAGCGCGTTGCTGCCTGCAGTTGTCCGGGCGTTGATAAATCGACGCACGTAGGCCACTTTTTGAAATTTAAACTAGGCTGCTTCACAAAGGCGAGGTACGTGGCACTGACGTGGCTATTTGTACGTGAGTGCGTGCGTGCGTGCAGGTGAGAGTTGCGTAATTACAAGTGGTATAAAAGCAACAAATCAAAATCATCTGTCCGCTGCAGCTTCTGCCCGCTCGTTACGATATTTCAGGCAATGTTGATTGCAACAACCGCGCGTGATGATTACCCCTATACTCCGCGTGTAATAATTATTTCAACGCTACGTGGAAAAAGAAGCGCAGAAGAGAAGATCGTTGCGAGCCTGTGCGCATCGTCGAACAATCGGAACAATCCACCCGACATTATTACATAACTCATATGCGCAAACAGATATGTGGACCGAGTGCCGTGAAATCGGCACGATCCTGTCGAGTGCACGAGACTACTTGGTCTCTTTCGCCGGCGATGTACTCGGGCCGCTCATCAGAACGTTATCGATCGCGCGACAGATGTCCTCGAAGACAACCGACTCCTCTTTCTCGCCGTCGATGACGCACAGCTTCTTGCTGTAGCGCCTTAGGATCGGCTTGTTCAGCTTGCTGAAGGTCTTGATGCGTTTCTTGATCTCGTCGAAGTTGCGTTCCTGCCGCTCGGTGGCGGTGACGATCCTCGCTAGGATCCTGTCCGTCATCACCGAGTTCCTCATGCACAGGTAGAGGACGAGGTCCGGCGGCCGGACGTGCCTGTCGAAGTACTTGCTCTGCTCCTTTCCTCTGGGGAATCCGCTGAGAATAAAGCCACGCGCGGTGTCTAAGCCGCTCAGCATCCTCGCCTTGATGAGCTCTACCATCACGTCCGAGGGCACCAGTCGGCTCTCCGACATGAAGCGGGCCAGGGTGACGGCCTGCTGCGTGCCCGTGGCCACTTCGTCCCGCAGCAGGTCTCTGGTCACGATGCCGAGGAAGCCGTAGTGCCGCGCTATCCGGATGCCTTGTGTCCCTGCAAAGAGGGGAGACTAAATTGATTCCCGGGTGACTCGCGAGAAGAAGAAAATTCTCTTTGTGGAATGATGCTGTCAGTTCTAGTTGGAGTCATTATAGATTTCACTTTTTTATCTACACCGTAAGGTAAAGCGCAAGAGAAATAGAGGTTACCGAGGATAGACTAAGGTTAACTTCATTAACTTGTGATTTTTACGGTTCGTATTCGGAAAAAATTGTAAATGAAGGCTCGACCAACTTTTCCCCGCTCCTGGGCCTCCGATTAGAAAGATAATCGGCAGTCTGGATTCCTTAACCGGCGTGATGTCGACTCCGACGTCCCTTGAAAGGCCAGCGAACGAAGGGTCGATGTATCTTAAGCAGTTGCCCATTTTCTTGCAGATGCTTCGTCAGTGGAAAAGTGTTAGAAATGGTATTATGTTTCATACGCGACGAGTATAGTACAGTTATGCGCTTATTATGTGACATATTCAGCATCTTGAAGTTGAAGTTCTAAATTAAACGTAAATCCAAGAAAGAGTCAGATCGCGTTATCGATCCGAAAAATGTCACGAGCATGGCAGTGTTGTGATACATTTCGTAAAAGTTTATCACAGATCATCATAGACTATCAGTCAAGTTTCTTCTCGCAATGTTAAAATTACTGTTATCGTTTTTACAGCGAGATTATGAACTTGCCTGCTAGCGACTTCTATCGTGGCTAAAGCAGCCGCCTGCTTTCTCGGTCGTTGATAACCCGTTTCACTCAAGAAGAGAATATGGTAGCTTAGTCGCGCGTTCGTTAACCTCCATTTGAGTTCAACAGCATTTATTTCTTTTAAATTGTGTACAACTTAATGCACCTTTATTTCCCATCCTTTTGTGTTTCATGGGAAAAATCAACTTGGAATTTACAGCTCGATTTTACTTTCGATCTCCACCGATCGCAAGACTTCGAACTCAGCGATTATATCCGATTAATGATGAAATAACACATAACATCAGTGATGTGTTTTAAGGAAACAAATATGCTTTGCAAATGGTGTATATTTGAGTGTATAAATAACGTCGAGCGTCTTACGGTAGGAACATAAAAATATAATTCTCACATCAGCCCGTTCTCCCCCCTCCCATCGCGGGACGTACAATTCGATCAGACGCCCGTAAGCTCCTCGCGAAGATCGGGGGCCAAAGATGGTTGACAGTCAATCGACTTGAGCAACAGTCACATGAGGAAACGTGACGAGCTGAAGTACATCAGGAGATGTCGCCTCGCCATCATCAGCATCGGCGGAGTCGGCAAGTCTTTGGCGCACTTGCTGAAGATATATCCGGGCGGTCTGACGGAGCTGTGGCTTTGCAATCGAAGCGATCCCGAAGGAATCGTCGAGGAGCTGTGAATCGTATTCCAACAAAGTTGCCCGTTCGAGGGTTTAAGGATATCGACAGGATATCTGTCCTTGGCTGCCTGTAAGATATCGATATAGTTGTGTTGACCGCCAGAGTCCCCAAAAAGCCCGACGTGCATAGGACTACCATTTGTTCACAGTGATTATAATAATTCTAAATATCTAGTTACCATTGTCGTTAATATCGGGAAATTGTGGATTCCGCGAGGCTTGTGTTGTGTAATAACAATCTCGACGCGCCATTACGCACGATACGACCTCGCAAAGATTAGAAATCGAAAATAACGGAGTCGTAACCATCAATGGCGCTTCTAGGGATGAAAGTGGAAAGGAACAGAGAAAATTACTTATCCTCAAACTACACATAGAATAAAGACGGTTTTAATTCGTCGACTCACAGGATTATCTTTTTGTTCTGCTCGACACTCTTCGTCACGCAGTGCAGTGATAGATTTCTCCGTAGAGTTGATTTAGAAGAGTTCGGGGAAATATACTAGACAGGTCTAATTTAAGACGACTTGGCCTCCCACGAAGACCTCGCCTTCAAGTACACTTACGTCGTCCGCTGCAGGTTAATGCCGCGATCTGCAGAGACGTGATTAACATCTGCGCGGACATGTGTCCCGATGCTCTGATAGCCATAATAACGAACCCTCTGGACTCGTTGGTGCCAGTCGCGGCGGGAGTCTCAAAGAAGCGCGGGGTATATCGGCCTGAGAGGCTCTTCGGCATCTGTCAGATCGACCAGATGAGAGCGGAGCGTTTCTACGCCGAGGCTATTGATCAGGAACCGAAAAAGGTTTACGTGCCTGTCGTGGGTGGTCACTCGGAGACCACCACGGTACCTTTGTTCTCCAAAGCGAGATCGAACCGTCAAGGAGACCATGACCTTGATTAATCTAGTGAGAAAGGCCGGGAGGAGAGTCGTTGTCGTAAGATGACCATTATTTCGATTGCGAGTAATTGCGAGCAATAGACGCTCTCATCGTTACGCTCACGCGATTGTTGAATATTGAAAGAGCATCTATGGCGGGAGAAATTACTTAACAATCTTTATAAATCGCTACCTCTAAACCGGCGATATGGTCTAAGCCTGCAAGCGTGGGTGTATACCATATTACACCATACCAAACTGTACTACCTGCTTGAGTATCTTATTTATTTTGATTATTTTCATTTATTTCTGATGTTTGAATATTTAATGTGTCGCGCAATTGCCTACAATATTTGCTTCATGTTCTTAATTCTATTGTATTATTGAGCATCTGCTGGTATGCGAATATACTTACATCATATGTGAAAGAATTTGATTAATTGGTTGAGTACTGCTTATAAATCGTTTGTACGATATTTAGATATGCATATGTACGTGGATTGAAAAATTTAGACTGCATGAGTGCAGCGGCGAGTAGAGAAGGTTGATAAATTAAAGGTTTTTACAATAATATATGGTGGATGGGTCTAATAAAACTAGTAAAATAGTAAAATAGTAAAATGGTAAAAGATAAAATATACATTATAAACTATAAAACTTGACTGAGGCCGTGTGTGGAGGGCATCATTCATTGACGTGAATCATTTTCAGTCCGATTCATGCTAGGACACATGCACTTTGCATGTTTACATGTCGCGGGCTGCTTGGCGTAATTGAAATTGGAATGGTCTCATATTGGTGAAAGTGATGTTATCCATGCTCGCACAAATTCAGGTTACATATCTCTAGGAAGGAGTAGCCACGGATTACTGATTATTATATATTTTTCGCTACTTAGAGAATGAGACAATATATTATGTATAACACTGTATTCTTTATGGGGTTCTACTCCGGAGTGTAAATAAATATAACTCTAACTCTAACTCTAACTCGTCGTATTCCTGCAGTTTTTGATATCGAATGTCCCGAACTTTGCGCGCAGCTACAAGTTTTCCAGCTCTAAGCAGTTAAAATAAATCTTGCGGAATTCGTTTAGAAGATAACCCATTGTTGTATGAAAAAGAAACCCACACTTCGTCTTCAGCATGAGAGTATTTAAAGCACGTAATTGGCGCGAGGATACCCAGACGCATCTTGCATTTGTTCTGTTGAGACAAGAAAGGGATCCGGCGGCTCTACATTTTCAATGGCGTCAGCGGCGCTATACTTCGTCCATGACCTGTGCCGCGCCATTCACGACGAACCGCACGTGATTCACTTCCGCTTACGTGGAGTCGACGGTGACCGAGTCGAGTTTCTTCAGCAACGAATTGTTGCTTGCGCCACGCGGCATCCAAAAGAATCTCGGCTACGGGACGATCACGAAGCTCGGACAGCATCTGACAGGGTCGTGGCGACTCTTCAAGTCGAGATCAAGATGGCCGAAGAATTTGTTGCCAAGAAGGTCAAGTGATTTACGGGAATGAAGTCACGGTCTTTGTCGTTTAACGCAAACGAGATGGCAAATTTGTAATGCAAACGCACGATTTCCGAACGTGCTCGCCGCGCTTTCTACTTTTATCGATCTCTTCATGTCTGTCAAACACATTGTGGTTTGTGATCTCGCTTGTGTGTGATGTAACCCAAAGTTAAACTTTAGCATCGTAGAGCTGCTATCGCAGATAGCACGTAAACTCCGTCTTTCGCTTGCATGTCCTTACATGTCCAACGATATTTATAATGCACAAATTCGTTAGTACATGTCGAGCTAATTTTTTCTGTTGTGAACGAAGCTTGAGTGAAATCGTTTAAGGGGGAGATCACATGCGGGAGGCCGTTTTCAAGTCTATTTTTACGAGAAACGGTTTTTTAACAGAAACGGTAGGATCAATGGACTTGAAATTTTTACAGTGTATTCATTAATATTCAAAGTGTAAATTAAATTTTATTGAATCATAAGAACAGATCCAATTTGTAATTATAGATAAAAATGCAGTCATCCGTTTGCGAACTCTATGTTTGCTGTCGACATAATTCCGGACCTCTCATTATTCTGAAACCAAAAAATTAGAGAGATTTTTAAAATATGCGGTTGCCGTTATAGCCCGGACCAAAATGGAAGGCAGTTTGGTGAAGTCAAGTTTGGAAAAAAAATAAAAAGAAGTAAAAAAAGTAAAAAAAGAGTAAAAAAAAGTATCGAATATGAAACTTTTTCCAACTTGTAATCGTTCAAAAAAAAATAAATAAAATAAAATATAACTGTGTTCGAGGTAGGGACGAAAACTACATGTCTACTGTATATTGCGTAACAATTTCAAGTTATTCGGTTCAGTGGTTTTTGCGTAATCGTGTCGACGGTTTAAGAAATTGGTGATTCCGGATAAACGCGTTTAAAGTTTTATGCGTGTTTCCATATGGATAGTAACAAATTTATCTTATATTTTGAACATTAATGAATACACTGTGAAAATTTCAAGTCCATTGATCCTACCGTTTCTGTTGAAAAAAATTCGTAAAAATAACCTTGAAAACGGCCTGCTCCGCCGTGTAATTCCTCCCTTAATACAACCACCAGGTAGAGAGAATTATACAGCTTCCTCGTTGTCATGCTTTCTCGAGCACACTCGACACCTCGCAAGAACTTCTCTCGTATCGATTCTCACTCTTATAATAGATATTAAATCTCACGATCGTGCGCGGCGGACTCTCTAAAGTTCACAGTCTCACAACGTTATGGCACACTGCGAATATTTGGAATGCCGTTACGTGAATATCGCAACCATCCTCCATTACTACGGTTGCGCCATAGCCCGCTGGTATTTGCGAGGCGCACGACTTAACGAGAGATAATTATCCGCTAATCGGGATATCGATGGAAAAATTAAACGCTCGTGCTCGCGCTACGTTGTGACGGAAAGCTCCGTGCGATCGCTCGAAGGCTTCCGCACTCTACGCGCCGTAACAATACGCCGTCATTGTAAGATACGGACCGGATCCTGGGCCAGGCCGTACGCGAGTAATTTTCCAAATAACACAGATCTCGATCCATTGATCGTTCGCCGAGCCAATGCATCGGTTACGCGGCTCGGAAGGGCTGATATTATCTGCCGAAGCGGAAATTGGCGTATTCCGCCGCCCACGAAAGGTTCCGCCAATTTCGTTCGCGATCGCCGCGATGATGCAATGACGCAATTCATTTGTCACCCGGGGCGGTGCTCCGATAGGAAATTAGAAAAAAATAGGAAGAGAGAATATAACAGCGAGAGCTTACGGTTCTCGTGGGCGCCTTTAGCGACAGATTGCACGCACACCACAGGGAATGTTACCGTCGATTTACTTCACGACGCACCGAGAACGTTTTGTACGGAGAAAAATGGAATGAATCTTCTTGATTCAATAGCGCGATCACTGAAGCCGACGCTCGAATTATTAAAGCAACGTAACATATTTGCTTCACTAATATCGTTGTGGATTCGAGAAAATTCCCTCCAGTCAGGCTACTGCTTTTCCACCGCGCCTTTTATCCGTTATTACCGCTATAATTCCGAGAGCGATACCGCGAGCTGATTTTATGGCGCAAACGTAAACGTTAAATTTCTTATTACCAAGGAGAGGATGTGTGCTACGTCGCGTATCAGCAGCGATTAAAAGACTCTCTCGCAGTACTGTGTGTTACTCCTGTCGGCGTGCAATTGCGATTTCCAGCAGTAACCCACTTCGGATGAGACGCGAGGTCTCATTTTTCCTCGAAAGGCAAATATGCTCGCTCCATCCGGCATTAGCAAACGCCATAATATCGCCGCGGAGCGTGGCGTTTCACTGCCGTCCGTTAATTAGCGATCGCGATAATATCGCATGCGGGGCGCATGCGATATTTTAGGGCAGTCGCGGAAAATGGCGCGCGCGCGCTCGACAGGCGAGTCTCATTAAAAATGCTTATTAGAGGGTACATTAGTGTCGTTTCGATCGGCGAACTAGATCGCAGCGTGAGATCGCGATTAGACGGCATTATACGGACACGGCGGATTAAGAGTGACGCACGACGCCGGCCGCTAGCTCGTTAAAAGCGCGGAATTACATGCTGGAATTATGCGTAAATCTGTCGGTGATTGCCGTCTTTAAATATCGGCGCCGGTGGCACCGACTGCATAATTCACCACGGGCGAGCCGCGATAAGTTTTCCGCCGGAGCCGAATCTTTATGAGGGAGTTCGTGAATTAATAATAGATCCACGCGGGGGATTAATTCATGCGGCTCGGCCGCGGACACGGCGCGCGTTTCTCCCGCCGCGTCACCGCCCGTCGCGTTATTTTCATGTTGTCGCTTGTTTTATTTCGCCGCGCGCAGTTGCTCGCGTCAACTATGTGTCGCGTTGTGTCGCGTTAAATTTAAATTTTAGATTATTCCATATTTCTATATTTATACGAGGAATATGATTTTTTCGTCTTTATCTTCTCCGCTGGAATGCGTGATAGTCTATATTTTATCCCTAAAGACGACGTCGAGCCGAGTTGTCTCTCTCCCTCTCTCTCTCTCTCTCTCTCTTGTTTCTACAATTACTAGAATATAATTATACGTGGAATAAGATTCTAACTATAATATAATCAGTTTCGTACGAGTGGAAGAGAGCGATGGAGACCGCATTGCCGCCACCATTAGCTCTCAATCGCATAAATTTTCCGAATAACCCCTTCGTGCCGATTAGAGCGAGCGACTTATCTCCAGCGAGGGACATTCGGATTCTTCACAACTCCCAACCGAAAGAATGCAATGAACAAATTCCCGATCGAGATAGACCGCCGCCGACGGTACCCGCCGGCGGCTTCCCGTTTCGTCGATAGAATCATAAGCGTGTGCCCCGCGAGCGCGCGATGATAGCAGAACAGGTTCGGTAGCGGTATTTAAGAATCTGGAAAGGGACGAACTAGCGAGATAGCAACGTTAACCACGGTGCACCGTCGCATTAGCGATAACGTGAAATTACC